CCGCAATCCACAGTTAAGATCTACTTTGTTACATAAAATTAAAACTAGCGTGTTAGAAAATTTACTGTCATAACATTTAAATTTTATTATATACTTGCGACACATTCATCAAATTCAAAATAAGGAAAGTACTTTTTCTACGTTAGCACTAGAAGGAGGTTTGACATCCAATTTTGACAAATACCTGAACAACGGAAAAACTACCTATAGCTCTTCACATTTTATTTTCGAAGGAAAATACCCTTATAATATACAAAAAAAATTGAAAACTATTATTACTATTACATTATTTTAAAAATAAGAACAATAATAATTTTATCAATTTTCTATGTATACATTTATTATATTATATTTTTTAAAGGGGGAAGTAGTAACATAAAAGTAACATACACTACTGGTGTAGAAATTGAGTAGTTGATTTGAAAATAAAAATACAAACCACTTTGAACAAAATACATTCATTATATACTCGATAAAAAACAGCTTTATTCGACGTTTTGAACGACGTTTAAATGGACTTGATAACAAATTCCCATAATTGTCTATCAACCCCAGCGATCTTGCCATTTCAACCTCATATGCTCCATCTCAACAGGAAGGTACAAATAAAGAAATTGAATTACATAAAATGCATCCAATCGAATGATACCCAGATCATTCCATATTATATTTGTAAAACAATACTACGTTTTATTAAAGTATTTATTAAAAAAATAAGTTAATCATCTTAGAACAATCAAAAGAAATTAATATATTCTTCAAGCACCTGGGAAGTAAGAAACCTTAGTAGTAGTTCTGAATTTGAAGTAACTAATATGACTATATGCATTCTTTGTTGAAGATTTGGAAAGTTTTACTGAGTGTACTTGGTATGTATATTCATAATTACTGTAAACTTATAAATGATTAGAATAAAAGACCATAAAACAAATTTTGAATAATGAACGTACTTCTATATTAGCACACCATCCAATTTTGAGAAATGTTTGATTTTACCAAAGTTTACAAAAATGTGCATTTAATAAAGGAACGGGCCAAGTGCGGCCCGCGTTCTTGTCTAATCTAATTATAGTATCGTTTTACTGTGAAAATTGGAAACAATGGAGATACTAAATTGGTAGAAAGACAGCATCCGAAACTGATTGATGAGTGTTGTTATTGTTGTTATTGTTGGTGGTGGTGGTGGTGGTGGATGTTAGAAATTTCGCGCCGCTGCGAAAGAAACGGTGGTGGCGGCGGCAACGGCGAAGATTAGTTCACTTACTTTCTTAAGAAGAACATTCTTCGAGCTCTTCAAAGGCCAGTACCGTTCTAACTGTGCAACGAACCGCACCGGCCAGAAGGAAACAACATCAAACCCAAAGTTGTGCAACTCCACTTTTTTTATGCTTTTCGCATCTCTCTTCGTCTCGCTCCCGCTTCAAGCTCGCAAACGTTTTCTGCTTCTTCCACTTTGTTAATTGCTCGAAACGCAATTAGACAGCAGACTTGGCATCGCGCTCGAGTCGGAGACAATGTGAAAGAAATCGGTGCTTCTTCGTGTGTTTCTTGTGCGACTTTATTATCGGCGTTTTGGGTCATCATATTTCGGTGAACCCGCTGAAGAAATGTCCAACGTGGTGAGCAGGACCAGCACGGGTCGAAGAAAACATAGGAGTATTACGAGCAGCAATCGAATTATAAGGTATTGTCCATTTGGTACAAAGTGCGTGCGATCAAAAGGAGGATGAAAAGATAGGCACAGTTCGATCCGTTAAGATTGCGATCGATTGCCGGTGTTCATTCGCCTTCTGTGGTTTTCAAAATCCGCAAATTTAACAGTACCACATGTCAAAAAGATGTGAAAACATAAACTGGAGTGTATCGTAGAAGTGGCGCAGCCTTTTGTTTGTAAAAATATCATGTAACCATGGTAGCTTGACGGTTGTCATGGAGACGATTCAATCAGATTGTACAATATTGTGCATAATTGTTATATTACTTAAACTCTTGTACATTTAATAATAATAATAATATTGGTAACAGTATTTTAAAAAAAACATAATTTGCAAAGTAATAATAAACAAAAAGAAAGTAACAACTCTATAAATAATAGTGACAATCAAATAAATATACTTAACATAAACATATTTTTAGTTGATTTATACATAAAAATAATTAATTAGAAACTGATTTTATTGGTATATTATCGTGAGTGTATGCAAATGAAGAAATTGGAAGTGCGTATGGTCGGCTTCCGATTAATTGGCCGTAATTATAACCTAATTAGGTGGAAGTTTGCGATGGGTTTTCGCACGAGCATTTCCATTTCGCCACGGGTGCTTAATTAATTCATTAATTTCTTCTTCTCCCGTTTGCTGAAGAAGAAATCCACATAGCGCGCCGGTGCGCAAATCAAAATTGGCCCAATTATATTTTTCATTCAGAGCAGAAACTTTCTACCATCTTTCCGCTAAAACTAAAAATCAAATTTCACGTTCTGATGTTTGCGTTTGAGGTAATTAATAAGGAATCTCTTTGGAACTCAACAATCGTTATATACTGAGCTACTTACTCGAATTTGTAATTAATTTTACCATTAAAATCATATTATATTACATCAACTATTTCTCACAATGAACATTTCGTTTTTTAAATAATTTGTTAAATAATAATAACAACATTTATTGCAACAAATCACCATACTACAAACTAAACAAAATAATATAATAAAAAAATAAAAACAAATTGATCTGCAAAAGGCTAATTTTGTTATTATTTTAATAATTGTCATTTTTAAAATTATTTATATCTTTAATCAATTGACCTTTGTATTTAGTTATACAATAATAGATTACATCAAACACACAATATACAAAAATTTACTTAAATTATGAATATTTGTCGTTATTTTAAATATACAACGAGGATATTAGCTCTTTCTATCCGATATAACGCGGTCTACCCAAAGCCTAAAAACCTCTAAATTAACCTATTTACTTATCACCTGAGAACGCACTATAAATTACGTTTATTTATAAATAATTCAAGTTTTTTCCAAACACAAAAATGACATAATATTGTATGTGATAATTCTATATGTTACGTCAACACATCACCATGTAATAAATTTTCGATTTTATTTGACTGTATTTGGTAGTTCTTGAAAAAATCCCTTGCATTTTTAAATAACTATTAAGCATTTGATTACAGTTATAAAAAGTAGCAATAATGTCCAAAAAGTCATTTAAGGCGTTACTTAAAATTATATATTTTTGTTTATATAAATTTATACATTGCATGTTTCTGACTCACACACACTTGTGCAACTATAGGTTCTTCCGAGGCAGACATAAATTATGATGATATTTATAAATTTGGATTTGTAAAAAGTATGATGTATTGGATTTCAATAGATAATAATTTAATTAATGATATTCGAAAAGTTTGCTCTAAAATTCTGCTTTTGCTGGTGTACAAAGTTATACTAAAACCAGTTTCTACATACGGTATCCAATTGTGGATATTTCAATCATTGGAAGAATACACCAGGGTACACCATGATACATCGCCAATAGGAGACTGCACCAGCTTTTTTTCAATAATGACAGTGGAAAAGGTTTGCGATCAACTTTCTGGAAGATTAAAACGCTTAAGTACTTGGATGTTCATTTTAGACCTAATAACATAATAAGAAATGCAATTACATTAAATTGCTGCAAAGAGCAAAAAAAAAACATAATATTATACAAATACCAAGAGTATTGTTTCGACTTTCTTCTAATATAAATCCTTTAAAATTTGCTAAATTTATGTTCTAACTGTATTCATTTTGTGCAACTATTTATTGTTATTTTTTTAATAATAATATTACAACAAAGAATAATATAATTTAACATTTCCATACAACTTACCATACATCTTTCTGCACTTATTTCTTTAATAATATTAATATTTATAGCAACAATAAATTACAAAAATTTAAAAAAACTGATTTTTTTAAAAAATTATTTTGGACAATAGAAAACTGTATAATTCTAAAAGTTGTTGAGAAATCTATTTTCACATCGAATCAAATTGGTTTCCTTGGATTTAATACGCCATTTCCTAAATTACGTAATTTCTATATGATTTATACTTGTATGTAGATATTGTTATATTATTTATATTAAATGACAATTTCAATGTATCCTGCAATCTTGTAGAATGTATTTTTTTATTTGTAAAAAGGTCTGATGTATAGATTAGATCATTAGATAAATAAATTATGCAGGATATATTTAGAAGATAATAACCAAGATAATTTATTATATCAAATAGTCCTTGCCAACTTGAATGAAAAATGGGCTTATTAATTTATGTACATCGAGTTTCGTTAAAGAATTTATTTTAAAAAGTTGCCAAATGATATTAATGAATCAAAGAAAAATTGAATTAAAAATTGCAAATAAGAGTGAAATTCGCTATACAATCGTAATTTGCGCAAGCATTGGGGATGCCAGTGCGTCGGGAAAGCTGGAGGATCTTCTTCGGTGGCCGCCTGCGGGTTTTAAAGATAATTTCATTCGGTCTGAAAATAATAAAAACACTTTCACTCCAGCTTGATTTCTACATTTTTATTTAACAGCTCAATTGCGAGCGCGCAAACATTGAAATTCCTTTCGTATTTTATTTTTACTTGTTTTGTGTAGCCGTTATTATTATTCCCATTTCGGAAAGTGAAACCTGCCCCTGCCTACCGATAAACGCGCGTTTCAGGTTTTCCCTGTTCCGGAGCTTTCTACGATTAACAAAATTTCGAACAGTTTACACTTGTTTTGCGCCTTGTTTCCTGTCGCTATTATAAACGCAATGGAATTGTTTTTAATTATCGCAAATTTAATTTGAACGCTCCCGTCGGAGTTTTCGGACCGTGCGAAGGCTCTTCGATTCTTTCTTTCTTTATTTCCGCATGGATGCGAGCGCGGATTTGTTTGAGAACCTGCGACGAATTGTGTTTACTAATATTGTAATATTTCCAGCGCAAACACGCAAATGGATAATGACGTGACGCCGGTGTACTTGGCGGCGCAGGAAGGGCACCTAGAGGTGCTGAAGTTTTTGGTTTTGGAAGCTGGAGGATCGCTGTATGTGAGGGCGAAGGATGGAATGGCCCCGATCCACGCGGCCAGCCAGATGGGCTGCCTGAACTGCGTCAAGTGGATGGTAAGGAAACCACCGGTTCAGAACGAGTTTCCATGTCGTCTTCGCTCTTAATCTTCTGTGTTCTCTTTCTTTCAGATACAAGAGCAAGGTGTGGACCCGAACTTGAGGGACGGAGACGGCGCGACGCCTCTGCACTTCGCCGCCTCACGCGGTCATCTCGAGACTGTCAGGTGGCTCTTAAGACATGGAGCCAGGCTCTCCCTTGACAAATATGGAAAAAGTCCTATAAACGACGCCGCAGAAAACCAGCAGGTGGAGGTAAAAACAAAACTTTGCTAATCAAGGACTTTGCAAGGATTTTAGTAATTTGCCATCTAGTGGAGCATTTCCATCTACAAATAAAATAGTATGAAACACAAAATGTGATTCGGAATCGAAAGTTTTGAGTTAATTGAGATTGAATTGAGACAATTATAACAAAAAATGTAACGCTCAGATTCTGCTATATGACATCAAATAGTTTCTGTATTTAACATTTCATATAAGTAAATACAAATAGTAGAAAATTTCTTCCAAAAATGCCAAACTAAAACTTGCGTCTAAAACGCTATACATGTATATCTATCAGATGTATTAGCTTAGCATCCAAACACTAGTTTTTCCAATAACATATTATATTACATTGACACAAATTTCAGTTAAAATGTGTACTTTAATAGAAATAACTCTACAGAAAAAAAAAATCTGAAACGGTTCAATCTGAAGATGTGATCGCTTCTAGAGATCGAGATCGATAAGAAACATTCTCTTCAATATACCCGCCTCGCCTTCGAAGAAATAATGTTAAATTATAATTCCTGGCGAAATGTCATACATCAGTGGTATTTTATGAGGTAGTAATAGTAATACATCTCTTATAAATTTTCAATAGCTCAAAAAACATCTATTTTTTTTAGTTAATCTAATGTAGACTTTAACGTTTGTTTATTGATAGTATTATAAAAAAAAATGTGCCATATTGACACATCTAAATTTCTTTGATTTTCAAATATTACTTGTCAAATTAGAAGTTTACAACGTATCTACCACGAAATAGTACTTTGCTTATCAATATGATGCAATTATTTTAATACTTCTTTCTTTGTAATTGAAGATAAATTGGTATAATATATCTGAGTAAATGATAAATATTATTTCAAAAATATTTTATATTATTTCATACAATTCTATGCTATTCTACAAATGATAATTCATCACTAATTGATCACTAATATATAATATTCTATATTTTCAGTGTTTAAATGTTCTTGTTCAACATGGAACGACGCCGGATTACAAGGATCCAGATAAGAAGCATTATAGCTGCTCTTGCGTGAGGAAGGAATCAAAAAGAGTACGATTTATATATATATATAAGCAAATGAAATGACATTTAAAATATGTTTTTGTTTCGTTTTATTTAGGGAAATATAAGCGATTGCACATCCTGCAAAAAATCGACGGTCAACTGCAGCGTAAACAACGTCGCAAGCAATGGCAATAATATCAGTAGCAGCAACAACAGCTTGAACCAAGAACCTTTCTATTTGCATCCACCTCTAAGCAGACAAGGAGTCGAAACACCGCATGCTCCTCACGATGGCCTATACATCAATCCAATGGGAGTCCACAGAAATAGGTAAGAAACTATATACGATTACAATCATTCACAAAAAATATTACCATTAATAATATCAACTTAAGTTTTATTTCGTTTGTCCTTAATTATTCATCATTCATATATGTAGTTTATTTCAAAATAAATACATTTTGTTTATTATTATATTTATTATTATTATAAAATGTATTGTATCAGTTGACTTTTTTGAAATTATATATATTATATTTTTATAAAATGTAATAAAATATAAATTTCCCGGCGCATCCACCAAATTCACATTTTAATCGAAAATCAATAATAATTCATTAATTTAGAATTAATAATCGTTATTAGGGCAGAAAGATCTATGGTCAATAGCCTTTTGTATCACCTAACTTTTTTTTGATATCATATATATTTAATTTGTTCGTTTTATTTCTGTATATGTTTTTTTTGTACTACTCACGCAATACACATTATTATTATTATTTTAATCGTTATTAAGTAATAACAAATATAATAGTTTTCAAATATTTAATATTCAAAGACAAATTTACTTGTTTCATCACAGTTACAAAATAATACTTATACATGTTACCATAGTAATGAAATACATGCACACAGTTAATAGCTTGTGATAGTCATGACAACAATACACTTTGCTATATTTAACAAGTCTCAGCCTTTTCTTACGTAATCGGGTATATTTGTTATTGTAATTTGAAGTCATATTTTTATGTATATACAACTAATATTGAAATATGTATTTTCTCTAATTACACCAATTTCGTTATATTTTTTAGTATTTCAAATGGATCTGAGAGCAGCTCTAGCAGCACGAACGGAGAATCCTTCTACTTGCATAATCCGCAAGAAGTAATTTACAACCGCGTGAAGGATTTGTTCGAGAATAACACCACCAGCAGGATCCAATCACACGGAAATTCTGGTCTGTCTGCTCTGACCGGTAATATATTTGTTTGATTATTTTCTATTTGATAAAGATTAATTGTTGCTCATGTAGTAATTCGCTTTAGAGTATTATAAATACGCCTGTATATAACATATTCGAAAACAATTACTAAGAAAGAACGGTTATGCATTGTTAACAATATATTGAAAACTCGCGCTGATTAGTCGTTAAAATAGTTGATACCCAAGAAAGCGTTACACTGCGTATTTAATTTATGAATGAATAAATTTGATTTCCTGTCGCATTTGAATTTGCACAAATTACTGGGATATATGAAAGCAATTAACGCGTTACTCGCATATGCACGGAAACACAATGAGCAATAAATTTGTTGCACTTATCTAAAGGCAAATATCGTAAACATTAATGAAACAGAACGATCGAACTAACACACCAACAAAATACAAAGAAAACATGTGCAAAATGCGAATTTGGATTTTGTTTAAAACAATTGTGAATTGTGTCAATTACGGTTCTATTGCGGGCTGCAAGATTCTGCTTTTTTATGTTTTTCCTTATGCTTCTTCTTTCGCATAATGTAACACTGTAGCAAATAATGATTACAAATATTTTTGCATATTAAGTTTCTCGCACATGCGATTTCCACAGTTGCTATTCAGAACATCTGTCGCGGCCGTCCTCCACCTCGGGCCTAGAAATTTCTCTCTTTTCTCGTGATTATAGTAGCATAAATTATTTCCATGCGGGCTTTTCCGCGTCCAGTGCAACCGAGTGCTTCCACGAGGAACCATTGACTAATGGATGGTAGCAAAGTTGTTGAGCTCCGGCATTTTCTGGTTTGTTGCAGTTAAAGTGGAGGTGCATTCGAGCAGCAGCGGCGCCGGGTCCGATGAGAATCTGTCCTCTTCGGACATCTCCGAGAGATCAGGGGACCACGACCACGACTATGAGGATATTTACATGGTGCGGGACGAGCCGAAGACGAGCGCCAAAGACAGATTGAATATAGCTCGGTCGAGGTCGCGCGACTCCGGGTCGCACAGTCGTTCCGGGTCGGCGAGTTCGTCCAATTCCGGGTGCAACGTGATTGTCAAACTGACGCCCAACCAGAAACCCAAGCAGAACGAATTTCTGCCGAAACCGCAGAAGATCGAGAAGAAGGTGGCCCAGAAGGAACCAGAGGAGTCTTCGTCTCCTTCGGCGCTAAGTTCCGAGGAGGAAGGCGAAAAGACGAAGTTGGGAACCAGGCACTCGCTGCCACCGCCGCCGCCTCCGCCGGTCCACGATTACAGCCATCAGAGGCTTCTAAAGAGGGTTATCTCCACCCCCGTTGACGTGCACGCCGTGCCGCCGCCGCCACCACCGCTGCCGGCGATGAAGGATCCTTCATCCTGCGAGGATATCGATGGCGTCTCGGAGAACGGTGGCGGAAGCGGAGGACAGTGTGAGGATGTCGAGGTGGTCGCAGAGCCTACCGTCAGACCTTCTGACGTCGTCAAAGGAATGTGCAGAAGCATCTCCTCTCTCAGTAAGTAAACTAACCTAAATACTAGCCATCTTAGAAAACTGGTTCATCAGCAACCAACTGTCGTCGTTAGCCAATAAGTAGTGGAACTCAAACAAAGAACCATAGATAAAAGTAGAGAATATAATATATATTTTTTTTTATATTTTGTGAACGTTTTCACAATTTAAATTTCTAAACCATGTCACATCTTCATAAAACATACGTTCTTTGAAACAATAGACAATCCATTTGTAAAATCACTCGTCACAGTAATCTTTAAAACATTTCCATACCATTTCGTCAATGACAACGAGTTCCATCAGCCATAAATAAAAATCATCGCAATAACATGTGTGCACAAAAGTTTCATAAAATCGTAAAAACCGCAAATTATACAATCATACAAAAAAATCAATTTCCATCGTGAACAAGACTAATTAATTTTATTTACCATATTCCCTTACAATTGTTTTCAATTATAAAATTAAAAATACTAAAGAAATAAAAATGAATTAGTCACTAGTTCAACACGCACTTTGTAATGTTTCTTCAGTCATTTTTACAGTAATATCCTTTTTAGTCACATATATACTCTATTAACAATGGACTGACCAACACAATGTCTCTTAAATCAAGGGTGCCTCATATTTTAAGATTGGCCCACGACAACCTTAACTAAATTGAAATTTGAATTGCACAAGAAAATTGCGTCTCAAGTGCTTAATCCTTCACTGATCAAATACATATACAGCAATAACTCGCGTAATGGGTTCCCGCACTGTTTAAAGCCGAACTAACCGAGAACTTTGAAACCGCTTAAAAATAAACAGCATAAAAATAGAATTTACTTTATAGATGAAAATACTATCATTTGTGTATAAGAATAATAAATTTCTGTACAATTTGTTTCTTTTGAAATTTTTAAACCCTACTGATCAAAGCCTCAGTATTCGAGGTATTTTTATACTAATATTTTTACATATAAAATACGGAAAACAAGAAGAAAAAACTTTCGATCTTATTTATATATTTATTTATGCTGGGTGTTTCATGCATATGCATATTCTTGTAATCAAGACATTCGCATTCACGAAATCCACTGAACTAAATTTCAACGACTGCACATGAAACAGCTTTATTACCTTTATTTTATATATATATATATATGTATCTTTCCAACGTTTACGTTTTTTTGACAAGTAAAAGTACTCTCGGATGACGACGATTAAATCGAAATAAAAATAAGTAGAGCTCGTAACGACGTGCAGCAGGTCACTTCTTTCTTGTGTTTCTTTTATTCTTCTTATATTTTTTTCGAGTGACTCATTAATCCAGCTCTCTATCTCTCTTAGTCAATCTCCTACATTCATTATTATATTAGTCGTTTTCGTATTTGTTTCGTTTTAATTACGGCAATTACCCGATCCTAATGTGATTCGCTTTTACGAATTCGCCGTTTGCTGGCGGAAAAACGAAACCGGACTTTCACCAAATGCATTCAAATTGGATGTAATTGGATTAAGCAGATTACAAGAAATGAAGGAAACGAATGATATACGTAATTAGATTAGTTTCGGAAACCGAGTTAGTCAATAGTTCTCCACTGATTTACACCCGAAATTGGTGAATGTTTTATGAAATGATTGTTACCACAAACATATTTTTAATGAATAACTGTCTTCTTTATTTATCTATCCAATATATTAATCGTTCGCAAATGATTTGCTTTAAGAAATAGACAGATTCAATCTCAGAATTGATTGACAAACTTATTAAATAAATAACAGGACGCAACGTTTTGAACCAATTACATAAATAAGATAATTACGATGAATTCAGAAACGTCGATTTTATTCACGAAAAATAATAATTAATTAAATACAACCGTTTTATATTAATTGGGGGCTCAATTAGTGGAGATTACGGTTGCGCACTTAATAGTCCGCGAAATCACTTGCATTAATTGGCAAATTAAATGCGAATTTTACATAAATGTTCAAAAACTGCGAAATAGAAATGGGCTAAAAAGAGCATGTGTACAGTTACAGCATTTTCACCGTGCTGCAATTAAACCCTCGAAAACATATTTTTCTTTTCTTTTTTCTTTATAACAACTTTTGCTTTTTTCTTTCTTGCATAATTTTTACATGTAGTTGTACATCCCCGCCACGACAGCAAAAGAAAAGAAAGAGATGTAAAGCAAATCACACAGCTCGAAACCAGCAAACCGGAACTTGGCTTGACGCGCGGTGAAATCCAACTCAGTTTAATGCAAGCACCAAAAGCGACAACATCTGAGAATAATAGAATAATAAAAAAAACATCGGTTCGTTATCAAAGCAACGCTTTTTCGTTTCATTATCTCGTTGTTTATACAATCGAAGTGGACTCAGAATTAATTCAACTTAGATTTTTCGTAAGTTTATTATATAGTTATGGTTTTAAATATTTTCCATTTGATAATATTTTGTATATATCGCTATATATTATATGTTTTATGATGCATTTGCACTCAATTAAAGTAGTTTCTAAGTGCATCGGATGAAAACTGATTAATAAATCCAGAATACTGGAATTTATCTAATGATTGCGAGTGGATGGAAACAGATGTTGCCCCGATAAGTCTAGATTGCTAGCAGTAGATCGTGTGTAACCACTTCTCGAAGTGTTTCTTCATTGTGTAGTTTTTAAACGTTTGCGGCGTGAAAGTCTGCCGGTGCGGAGATGTTGTATGCAATGGATTTGTCGAGCGATATCTAACTATTATTCAGGCCACACTCGTGTTTCAGCTGCGAGACGGCTGAACTCCTCGTGCTCAGATCTAACCATCATCAGTTTGAGCACGGAAGCGGAAACAGAAGTGGCGAGCGGTCCCGAAAGGACGGTGTCTCATCTTGCCGGGAAGCAGCGCGTGCTACCCTTTATCCCACCCAGTTTCCCCGGGAGCGGCGACAAAAACCATCTGATCAAGCCGTCTGAATACCTAAAGAGCATCAGCAGCGAGAAACGATCTTGCTCCTCCGTGCGCAGCGTGTCCGAATGCGAAGAATCGCTCATCATCTCCGAGGATCATCAGAAAAATTCTGAAATCCCTACCCCACCGCCGCCTCCACTACCCGAATTCAATATTTCCAACAGAGGTAAGACTACATATCATAATTAAGAGTCATAATTAAGAGTTCGCGTTTCAGAAACTTTGAAACTTCAACAGACGGCCGAGGTGGTGAGTGACACCACCAAGAAGAAGCAACAGCCGTTGTCGGCCATCAGCATCCACGATTTAAACTCGGTCCAGTTGCGAAGAACCGATAAAATGCTTGCCTCAAAAACGTTCTCGGCACCGACGCGCAGCATGAGCTTGCAGAGTCTCCAGAGCGAGCCCTATCTTGCCCAAAAGACGGATCTAATTGCTGAATTGAAGTTGTCCAAAGACATCACAGGCATCAGAAAGATGAAGATCGAACGCGCCAAGGTGGAGGAAAAACACGAGAAGGAATTGTACACGGAGATCACCAAGCAGTTTTCCACTACCAACTTCGTGGAAAAGGTAAGTGTATGGCATTTTCAGTTCGATCGATGCTCGGACAAACATGTAGACACGCATTTGCTCTTTCAGATCCCCGACAAAGACAACACCGGTAACGTGATTCCGGTATGGAAGAGGCAGATGCTAGCCAAAAAGGCTGCGGAGAAGGCGCGCAAAGAACTGGAAGAACAGTTGCACAAGGAGGCAGAGGAGAAGCGCCTGCAAGCGATTCCCCAGTGGAAACGTCAGCTGATGGCCAAGAAGGAGGAAGCGGAATTTAAAATGAGGTAACTGGAGTTTTCGCTTGAATTAAGATTTAATTTCACCAAGAAATATGTACATTCATTGATTCCATGTTGCGCAGCAACTCGCAAATCGAACTATTTCGTTCCAGGCAATGCTTGTACTCACCGAAAGTTGAAGACGTGAAATCGGTGAGGGTACAGGAGGACTGCCACAAGTCGGAAAGGATGGAGGATTTCAATAATAATTGCAGTAGTAGTGTGGAGATCGAGCGATGCACCTCGGTTGAACCGTGCATGAATAGCGTCAGCTGCAGCACCAATACCAACACCTACGAGTCCCAATCGGATGAGGAACCAAACATTATCCCATGGCGAGCGCAGCTGAGGAAAACCAACAGCAAACTGAACCTCCTAGATTAGGGAACGAGTTTTCATCTTAAATTAATTTAACCAAATCCTTCAATTCACCTATTCATTTTCTTTCGGTCATTTGTGTATTTATTAAATTTGTTTTATTTTCTCTTTGTTTAGTCATTTTATATATTATAGTCCATATAAGTTACTCCCGTATATTTTGTTATATATATATATATATATATATTAGTGTTTATATTTGGTATAGGATTCATTTTGTTCGTTTCGTGTATATTCTTATTAAATACATATTGTCCGTGTGTGTATATACATATCTATATATAGGCGGCAGCTGCTTTTGCTATTATTCCAATTTAAATAATATTATAATAAATTTTATTTTACAAAATAAATAGCTTATTTTAAAGTAGAACATCAATTATAATTAGTATTGTTAAACCTCGAGCTGTATGAAAAAACTTCTACTTATTGTAATTCTCTGGTAGAGAGGGGACGCAACAATGTTTATTGGCTAGACGACGATGGAACAAAACAGAAACAGAAAACAAGTTAATTCGGCTTTGGAGTTTGTACCTCATATCTGCGAGCCCAGTTACGCGTACTGCTTTAGGATGGAATGGATTCGGATGGAGAGCCGCTGTTCGAAATCGTAGTCCTTGTAGTTAGATATCTGCTGCAGCGTAAGACGTCCTTCATCCTTTGTCTGAAAATAGTCCCCAAATACCAAATTTGCAAATAACTTTGTAGGTGCTTCAAACTTACTTCCGGATCACGAATTAACAACCGACCCAACTCGTACAATGCAAATGCGGTTATGTGCGAGTCGCAACCCTGGACACTGCAGTTGGACCTCATCTCTAGGCACTTGCGGAATGCGGTTATACCTCTCTCGTACTCTTTCAGGATGCACAAGGCGCTACCGCTAATTAATTCAGACAACCCTAAGAACGGCACGTATTCTTCGTTACCGTTAGCTAATTCGCAATCTATATAAGAGATTTTTTAAGTTGTTTAAAAAAATATAAGTAAAAAAAAAGACATACCATTGATTACAGTTTTTAGACTGTCTACGTTGCAGCTGGGCAAGGAGTTCCATAGGTAGAGCAGCTCATAAACAAGTAGTTTCCAAAAGAGGCTACTCTTAGCATAGAAAAGTTCCTCTTCGATAGGACAACATTTATAACGCCGTCCCAAGTACTCGTCTAGTTGTGAACCCTTAGGGGAGACTGTGAACATGCCCTTTAGGTCTTCGAAACTGCAAATTGTCTGTAGACTTTCGTTTGCACCAGCTGAGATTAAGCAAATGTACGAGTAGAAACCTCGAGACCACCGACTCTGCTGCTTCAAGTATAAGAAAGTATTCTGCGAGTGTTCGTGCTCCAACTGTATCAGATAACACCAGCCGACCTCATGTTGCGATAAAATGCGAATTTCCCGATGATTCGAGTTCGCAATAGACGCGTTAAACGACTGAATTGCCGACGAAATGTCTGACTGAAATAGAAATATGGTTGAAAAAATGCAGTGAAAACTTGTTTTCTCTCTCTATGGGTCACCTTTAACCTATCGATTCTGCCTTTGAAGAAGAGGAAGATAGCAGAGTCGCTGTATTCCTGCATGGCTTCGGCAATGAGAGTAGTGGCGATCCGCACACCCGCTTGTACATTGTTTCCATCCAGTGCGAAGAACGGACGGACTATCGTGTGATACCAGAGCAAAGCTAGGCTAAACCAGTTCCCGACGATTAGAATAGATATCAAACAGAGTATGTGTTAGTTACGTGGCCATCGGGGATCGCATGTCTTCCCCGTTCCTAGCGTATACGAGCTTCTCAAGACCGCTCTTCTGGTTACCCTGGAAACCCAGGAAGCTGGTTAGCTTGAGTACAGAAGGCGGTAACAACGACATGCCGAGCTGCAGGAGGCCGTAACCGAAGGAAACGGCGCGCATCAATCGTATAATCGTTGCGCGGTCGATGTCGACGACCTTCCTAAAGCAAACCGAAATCAAAAAGGCAATTAGATTCTGGGATCGCTTGCAACACTCACGGCCCCTCGTCGATGACGTTGAACAGACCCTGCGTGTACCTGTTCAACGTCCCGCTGAACGACCGAGACTTTTTCAACGGAATTGCAGACGATGCTGACGATGGCGCGGTGGAAGTTGAGGAGTGCGTGAAAGAGTTTACGGTTAAGGATTTGGGAATGTACCCGTTCTGGGTCACAGCAACTGCAGGATCAGGCACATCCGTTACCGCTTCCACTTTCTGTTCATCCAAATCCAATTCCTGTTCGGTGTCCGAAGATGTAGTACATTCGCCGCTGTTCTCACCCACTTCTGGCTGGTCACTCGCATCACCATCTTATGATAAATTTTGATTTATATAATAATGAAATAGTTATTTGTTTATTTTTGCAGCCTACCGAAATCTAAATCTCCAATATTCTGTTTGTATATGGCTAGAATTTCATTATATGTCTGCTGGTAGTGCTTCCAAGACTTGCGCATTATCCAACCACCCTTGAAGTAACCGGATATGTCCTGCTGCAGGAACGTGAGAGTAGCTAGGTAAAGTTCCGCGTCCGCCTTGATGATCTGATTCTCCAAGTATTCTGCATAGTTAAGGTCGGGCGGTTTCCCACGGATATACCGAAGCCAGCCCGAACCGCAACATCTCTTCTCCGTCTCCTTCAGCGTCTCCACGGCCAGGTTCAGCCTATCTTCCTCATAGCTCATCAGAGCGTCCTGAAAAATCAATCTTATTTAGTCTGGTGCAAATCGAGCGCTTTCGAACTTGCGATGAACATGACGGTGGCATATCCTGAGTACATGATGTTACTGTCAGGATATTGTCTGAAAAGTGCTTTGGCCTCTTCCTGTCTGTTGTTCAACAATAGCGCAACGCCGCTGCGTGCCATCTTCCAATAGGGCTCGGTGCTCTGATGGTCAGACATCTCTGCCATCATCCCCCCGTTCGAAAAAGAAAAGTAAATGAATGCGATTCAGAATCCAATAGATTGCAGAAAAGATACTCTCGTCTGATGTACTATAGGCATCTTATCTGAAATAAGAGATTTTTATCGATTATTTCGGGATAAAGCGGAAAGGGTTTACTTACCCACCCAATTATATTTAGTCCCAGTTGTTGTCGTCTTCCTTCCTGTCCCACCACTCTGAGATTTTGATGGAGCGGCGTCCTATCTGTCAGACCGCCGTCACAAAGACGTCAGACACAGGCGGATGGCAACAATCCGCATGTTGTTTGCCATTCGATTCCTGCTACACTGCCGGTCCACATTTTCCAACATTTCCACACGTTCTCATATCGATTTTCATGCTAACACCCTTGAACTTTCCTCCACCTTCTCCGCATCGCACGCAACCACTTCACAATTTCCCGCAGTCCGACACAGAGAAACCAATAAGTATAATTTTATGTGGAATGGATTTCAGGATATGTACATTCTCTCACATATGTGTGTATGTACATTGTTTTTCTTATTGTCATAGACGACGCCATTATTTAGCGGGTAAATCAAAGATATAATAATAGAAGCAATATTTTTAAAATTACTTGAATTTTAAATATGTCCATAGATATTTCAAATCTAATCGACCAATCACCGAACTGCACCGAACAGATAATTGGGTTGCCAATAATAAAAAGATCTCGTTTAACGCTAGGTTCATAAAAGACGAGCGCTAAATGCAAGAGCGTCGAAGTCACATTTGGTAAATTTATATCTTTTTTAGGATTCGGTCTGCGTTAATCGAGGCGTATTGGACTATCATTTATATTGGGTTATCCAGAGATTTCGTGCCAATTTTCGCTAAGTGGTTTTACAGAAAAGTGAAAAAAATAAATAATCACATTCAGTACAGTTTTTATTCCAAATATAATCACAATATTCGTATGTATAATTAACAGGTATACACAATAATGCGATGAATCGTTTATTCTTTAAATTTACCTTGTATTTTCATTAATCTTTTTTGTATGTATAAACAATTACAACAACACAGTGTAGATATTAATCATATATGTAGTTAATAAGTCTATAAGTATTTTTATATATAATATACTGGATATATAAAATAAAAACAGGAAAATAAAATTAGTTATATGCAATTATTGATAATTTTAAAGACAAGGTACAGTATTATTACACAAATTATTTTTATCTTAAACTGTCGAGGATCGTGGACGATGCAGTACAGGAGATTTTACTTTTCTTAGAAAAAAAAAACAAACAAAATATATCTGTATGGAAATTAATATACTAAATAATAATGATATAATAAACTCACACAAATATGATATTTAAAAGGTTCCATGTACACATAATATTCCTATTTACAACGAAAAAAATAAAATAAAATATATCTCAACTAAATTAGTGGACGAGTTTTAATTAAGTTTTACTAATGAAAACAAAACGAAAATATATAATAGGACAAACGTTTTTTCGCTTCCAAATGGACGACGGACGAACATTCTAATAACAGATTATTTTTGGAAAGTCCGATGTCTTCTTAATTACATTTACTTTGGTCATCAGACTTGAAACATCCAAGCTATCATTTAGAATTTTCATAAAAAGTAAATGAGATCATTGCTTCATTAAAACAAGTTTTTGTTTTTAAATTTTAAAGTTCTGCCGTCCGCAATTCCACTTGAAAAAACGATCACCATCCGGCCAGTACACTTGGTCCAACAAGATAAATAATCTATGATATAATATAGTATTGTGCGTTTCATAACATGCACCGAATGTTAATGCGATCAAGTATACGAGTCGGACAGAACTTAAAACTACTATTAGTTGCTGCATTAATTCGTTAATCATCTCATTAATTATATAAATACGATAAAATTGGGCAGTTCTCGTGTTAGTTTGAAACATCTTGTCGCAATCTATTTTTCATTATACAAAGTACAAAAAAAACATGTAGATAATCGATAATCAGATGACTTATTGGTCATGAATATATATCACAGCTTCACTTGAAAAACCGTGACTCGAATTTGGACCTTCTACATAATAAAACTCACTTTTCCAAATATATACATATATGTATAATGCATAAATTATAATATATATATATATATATTATAAAAATGTTTGTTTTACCATATACATCATTCACTTTACTATCATAAAACTGCGACGAATTCATATTGAATTGTTCGACAACTTATGTTACTTTTTCTAATTAGATTAGAAAACAAAATAATTGAGTATTAACATTGATTCTCTGTTCTGGACGAAATTTGGATGGAAATTTTGCATTTCTTATTCTTAAGTCTTGGATAGTATGAAATAAGTTTTCTTGAAACGATCGCTTTTCTTATACATAATACTTACCTATGAACTAAAAATATATATTTGTGCTTTGCAGTTGTAGATCTTTCTTTCTCTCTTTGTCATCGTCGATTCGCAGGTACTTTCTTTTACTCCATTTCCTCCTGTTTATTTCATCTTAAACATTTTTTTACTGTGAAGGAAATCAATCCAATTTATATAATTTAAATAAACAAAAAATCCTAAATAATTTTCTCCGTGTACGCCGTGTGTACGCTCTCACACACAAACTTGTATTGACTCTGAAATAAGGATTAACATAATTATTATAGCCAAGCGTAATTGTATGGTATAGTTACAGCATTTTGAATCATCATGGCACGTTGTTCCCGCATGCTCCGTACTATTCCAAGTGGGTATACGGGTTGGCCAGCCTCCATAAGGCACATCGCGGTTTCCATAAGCACCAGGACTCCGGTTCTGCCGATACCGGCGCTACAGTGGACAACGACCGGGGCAGAGGCATCATTGGACTGGTTCTGCCTCGCCTCTCTCACCTGATCTGTGAAAGCCAGGAAGAGAGCAGGTGAATTAGGCACACCGTGATCCGGCCATGCGACATATTGCATATGTTTGATCACACGCTCTTCGTTACTCTGCAAAATAACACAAAATTATTGAGTTATTAATTTCAAATAGGACTGATTTAAAATGACGAGTTTAAAATTTGGATATTGTTTTAAAAATTGGGTGAAATTAGGACATATCTTAGGATTAAGCAACAATACCTCGCATAATACTGTCCGATTTGAAAATTGGAAAGCAAACTAAATTTTAATTGTAACAAAAATTATAAAAATAATTTGTTGTATATTTTTATGCGATTTTAAAGCCCTCAATTAGTCCGGTTTCAAACATTTCCTTGATTACCCGCACTATACGAGGTATTGCTGTATATTGGAATATTAATTTTAAACTATACCTTATTATCAATTAAGGTAAAATTTCGATATACAAAGCTGCTGGACTCGTCCGAGAGTTCTTCGTCACATCTAACAGTAACGTTAGCCATCGGCAAGGATTCACCAACATTTGGCCAATACTTGTAACACTTGGCCCGACCCCGTTCTATCACCGTCGTCAACATAACGATCAAGCTGCTGCCCGACTCCAAAATCATCTGCCAAAAATCCTCGGTGGTGTTTTGCAATGGTCCCTGAGTAGCAATGTACTTATTCACTATCTCTGTTCCGCAAATGGGCATATTCACGTAATTCGCATTTATATAATCGCCATTGGGACAATCTTCCAGGACGACCCTGGTGTTATCATCTGAAACAAGAATAAGTATAAGATCCCTATATTGAAATGAATTCAACAGCAATTACATGGTGATATATCTCTGTATCTGTTCTTGTTGACGTTCTTCTGCTTGCAGGCTTCGTCACACGTCAGGTCTGGATACTTCCTATGCAGCATCTCGTATTGGGCGATAAGCGCTCCACTAGCTAGACCATCAGCAAGGAGGAGGATGCTTTGTTCAAGAGCATTGCTTGGCGACGGGGGGCGGTTATGCAATTCTCCACTCACAGGAACGTATTGATAGGGTGGCTCCTCGTATTCTTCGGAGACTCCGTATAGTGCGTTCGGACGGACTGTTAAGATTAGTTGTCCAGAATTTGTTACTCTCGCCTCCTGAATAATAGTTACGACGTCCGCGTGCAATGATTGTTGCACATCCATCCCATTGATCATCAACAATTGATCACCTTCCGTTAATCGGGGGTTGCATTTATCAGCGGGCGTGTTAGGAGCAACGCGTGAGACGGAAATAGGATCTTCCTTCGTCGTACCACCCTTCACGTTAAACCCGTACTTGCCATCTTGGTCAGGATGCAGGACGATCATGACCATCCCTTCGTCAACAATCTGCGATGTGGGCGAATGGCTGCCGCTATACGGAGGTGTGTCGTATAAACCATTAGAGGTGGGCGATGGCGGTTCTTCGTCGACGTAACTCAACACCTTCCCCGGAGAAAACGGACCTTCCGACGGCCGCTCCAGAAATACGCCGTCGTTAAAACTAGTTCGGAAAACAATATAAGGAATAATTAATTTCATAAAATGTTGACATTTACTCACTCGTCTGATAACCTATTGTCGTCCTCTTCCCACGCTTTCCTTGGCTCCTTGGCCCCCGACGACGTTACTTTATTATCGTAAGGCCGTGGAGGCCTTGCTGGTGCTGGTAGTATCTTACCCTTATCCTCAAGAGCTGGCGGCGGCATCGTTTGCCTCATCTAGCAACACAAATTCTTTATTAATACAACGAGCACACATATGCAATTAGCAGAAGATAGAAAACGCGCTGATTAAAAATCCACTTTATCAGTTCTTATCAACATGACATATAAAAAAAACACAACGAATGTTGATAAAGGCTATTTAAATATTAGGATTATCCAATGTAATATATTGGAACATTTCTTATGTTAGGCCACCAAATTGACTTACTATCGTCCTGCTCGGCGATCTAACGAACTTCCGCTCTAATCTGCTCCGTTGCCTGACCTCTTCCACTGTTTGAAACTCGGTTCGCCCAGAGTAAGTAAATTTGGAACCCAATGATAACGGGAAACGCCGACGTACCTTAGGCGAATGCAACCGGAAGAAGGTATGGTGTTCCACGCAAGCCTTCCACAGTGTTTTCGACGATCTATACGTTTCCATGTTAAAGCCTAGTAGAGTATCGTAATTTTCCGACTGAAACACGTAAATGGTTAGTCTTAAGGACACCTTTAATGGATCTTCATCGCATACCGGTTCCCTTCGAAGTTGTATGAAGAATTGCTTGCGCTTAAATGAGATTTTCATTATTTTCGCCCATGAAAAGGTATTAATACGGATATTATTTAGGAAGACAACTAAACCCAGCGATGTCACACCCAATTGAATGTCCTTGTTAGTGTTATCCTTAGCTTTGTGTAATTCAACCCCATACATATCCACTTTCTTTGCATGATCTAAGAAATTGAATTCCGCATCGGCCGGTAATTGCCCTCTAGAAATGAAAATAATGTTTATATTCGTTTTTTTTTATATTCATTTAAATATATACTTACTTATGAAGCTTATGCAATTCGGATATTTTCCTCTCCATGTCGTCATTTTGTTCCGGAACCAGTTGTAGGTTTGATAAGTAGTCTGGGCCATGCTCGTCAGGTTGATAGTCACCCAATTCAGCTATAACAAGTTATGCAATTAGTTAGCGATCAAATAATTCGTAATTAAGTACATTGCACAGTGTAACTCGCCAAAAGACAAGCCGTTGATGGCGGGAGATGCAATCTCAATTCCAGTATATCTCGTCGAACTTGCAAGTAAAATTGATATCTTGTGTACTCCTCCTGTAACTTGCTTGGATCACTCACGTAAAATTTTACGCGAAAATAGAGCGTTTTGTCTTCACAGTTACCCAGTTGCTTCTTTACCGACTTATTGTGATCTAGCCATCGCTAAAATAAACCCATTGATTTAATAACTTTTAAATAAATGAATGAATTATGTATTACCATGCATTCTGGTTTGTTATTGGTTGGTGTGCAACCATTCTCACTGAACTGCAAGCCGAAGTAATCCTTCTCAACGAGTTCTAAATGCTGATAGACTTGATCTAATAGTTGAGTTCCTTTTGCCCTTTTGTCTATATGAAATGTATGGTCTGTGTCATCAAGGAAAAACACCTTAATGCTTAAACCTTTCTGGGTTCGAACTCTGGCAGCAGCTAGTTCCAAGGCATGTACATTGTATGTTCCACTAGAACCACTGAAAGCCCTCTTCGAGACGCTTTCAATCATTGCATTGACAATGAACACAACCTGAAATCCAACATTAACAATACATGTATTGATGTAGCAATCTATGTCAATGATTAATTGACTACGACATAATCTAATCAATGGAAAAACTTGAACTAATACAAGCATATTATTGAGCAATGAATCAAACCCATTTATGAAGCACAAATTTTTTCCATTAGAGGTTAGGTCAAGTATTTTAACCTCACCAGGAAGCCCTCCTTTGTGGCAAATAGACAACAGAAACACCTACCTTCTCAGATGGAAACAATGGATGAGTGTATATCACATATTTGGATCCATGAACAATTGAATCCTTCTGGGCATATTTAGGTCTAGATTATCTCTCTCTTTTAACATATATGGATGTGAGCAGATCCATACATCCTCCACTACATATCACAAAGTCGACGATCTTCTTACAAACGCTTATATCACATTTGAAGCAAAGACGAGCAGAAATGCCATGCCGCAACTAGTTATCTTCGGGCAGCGAAAATAAAAACAAAAACACTAATATAATTTAACGTTAATTATAAATACAGTTCCTAAGTTTGACAGCTTTTGTAAAAAAAAAGTATAAGCGATTTTGTAACCGCTACATCAGCACCATCTACAACCACCAACCAACCACCACCATCATCGTTTCAAATGCATATCTCTGTAGTAGTGGTGGTATCAAATTCGATTCAACTGCAGTTGAAAATGCTAAAAATGCTGAATCAAATAGAATCGTGATATCAATACTCATCGTTACTACAAACAACAAACAAAAAAGTAATCAACAAGGAAAATGTAGAGGGAGCTACTATACAATTGCTAATTCAAATAATGAATATAATGATCATTTTTATTCTTTGCACATAATTTGTTTTTTTAACAATTTCATTTGTTTCATAGTTGAAAGTGTTTGATGCAATTGCACTTGAATATTTGCTGATTCCTTGACTCGATGTAGGGACCTTTTGTAGTCATCCTGTGCTTTGTGCATGCTCTGTGGTATCAAAATTCCAAACCACTTCAAGGGATTCTCCTCATTTGTTGCTTTCCTAATTTCCAAATCAAATACCTCTTCTTGCAACTTGCTATTTTTATCTCGATGAACTGTAGCTAAAGCATTGAACTCTTTGCTGTCCTCAGTGGGCAATTGTAGTTGAGAAACTGCATTTTGTCCTTTTATGTACCTAGCTTTGGCTAAATTTGATTCACCTTCTGACATGCACTTTTCTAATTCCAGTTTGCTCTGGATATGTTTCTCCATCAGTGTTAAAGAATCTAAAGTCAACTTATCCAATATCGAATTAATTCTATCCAAATCCGGCGACATATTTTAATAATATTCTAACGATTTGTTTTAAATTATTTCTCAACACTTTAACTGACTTTAACAAGAAAACGAATATAGGTTATTGTTTATCATATGACTTTGATTATACAACTTCATTCAATATATCTGTGAACTAAGAGACAACTTCATGTATGTTATTTGTATCACTTATGTCTACTGCAAATAACCTAAAAATGGATTCAAGTTTAGAAGTTGAAGCTATGGAAATGCAAGAATATAATAGTGAAGATTCTCAAAAAGTTGTGAGCAGTGATGAAGAGGACGAAGAGGGTGAAATCAATGAGAATATTGATGAGGACTATGCAAATGAGCTTGACTTTGAAGATCAAAAGAAGAAAAAGTGGAAAATACAGAAATCAAAGCTGCCAATCCATTTGAAGGGACTGATGGGTGAGGCTAATTTAAGATTTGCAAGAGGAGATTGTGATCTCTCTGAGAAAATGTGTTATGAAGTGATCAGGCAACAACCTCATGCATATGAACCATATGTGACTCTGTGCCAGATTTATGAGAACAAAGATGATGATAAGATGTTGCAGTATTTGAGTATAGCTGCACATTTAAAAAGGGGTGATGTTGATCAGTGGATGAGATTGGGTCAACTGTACATAACACGCAATAATATTCCAGCAGCGGTAACCTGTTACTCTAGAGCTGTGAGCACTCAACCTGACAACTATGAAATACACTTAAAGAGAATACAATTATTGGAACTACTCAAGGACCACAAATTTGTGATCAAAGCAAAGATAAAGCTATTAAATCAATACAAAGAATGTGACCATGATGCTCTCATGGATTTAGCTAAAGAGTTGGCTGAATATTATCATAAAGAAAAAGATTATGCCAAGGCAATTGAGATGATTGAAATACCATTTAAGAAATGTAAACAATACATTACACCTGAACTTGTGAATATTTATTTAGAGCTGTTGATTTTGATGGGCAATTTTCCAAACTGCTTGGATATTTTTGTTCAGTACTGTAACATTGAAATGGAAATACTTATTGGCGATGATCAGAAGGTGGAAATTATCTCGTATACGATGCGACAAGAGATATTGATTGATCTGCAGATTAAATTCATCATCTGCTTGGTACATTTGGAATCTTACGATTTAGTGGATAAACTTGTAAATCCGTTACTGGATGACGATAACAACGCTGAAAATATAGGAGATTTGTTCTTAGACGTTGCCGAAGCCATGATGAAGAAAAAGCAACATATGAAAGCTCTCAAGCTGTTAGTTCCGCTGATAAAAAGCAAAAATTTCAGTTTGGCTGCCGTCTGGTTAAAATACGCGGAATGCCAGCGAGAATGTAATATGGACGAACAAGCGATCGAAAGCTACTACACTGTGGTTCGACTTGCGCCACAGCACATCGAAGTAAAGATCCCGTTAAGTGATCTTCTTTTGAAAGTGGACAAGGTTAGGGAGGCTTTAAAAGTTCTGCGACAGAATACGGCGGAGACCAACGAAGTTGACGTCCCAGTTGCTATGAAAAGAATGCGTTTATTGATGAAAATAAAGAAGAATGAAGAGCTCTATATGGAGTTTGAAACATTTCTCCGACGGCATTGCTTGGTTATTGCTCCTGATGAAGCCGAGCTACGTATTCTCACTTTCCGAGTGAGTGTACGCGAGAAACTCAACAAGATACGTGAACTGAGAAACCTGAGGGATGAAGACCTCTGCAATTTTTTCGAAAGTTCACGTGAGCCCTCCGTCGAGGAGGAATATGATTTTTTCCTGGAGATCATGAACTACAGTTACGTCAATCGGCACTTTGAGCAAATGAAAAGGTTCGTCTTCAACGCTCTCAGCTCCACAAGGTTCAAAAATTATACCAGCGACTTGCATGCAATGGTCTTATACGCATGCATGTTTTTGAAGGAACATAGCTGGCAAATAGCCAAACAATCGGTGAGCTCGAAGAATGGCAAAAATAATCTGCTGTGGAATATTTACAATCAAACGATGCTGACGTTCGTCGATTCCAGGCAGAATCGATTCTTGATGCTGTACCCTAACTTGGCCATCACTAAAGTATTAGAGGCAAATATTGCCGTGTCTTCGGGAATGTACAAGATTGCCATCATTCATTTGCTACCATTGCTCAAGAACCAGCCTACTCCTTTTGTATATCTGCTGCTGGGCAGCGTCTTTCTCCAAGTCACAAATCAAAAGAGGCATGAGGGTAAGAAAGATCTGACGCAATGTACATATGGCCTTTTTCATAATTACGCGAAGAATCGCGGTAAATTAGCTTATCAAGAGGTCTGCTACAACCTTGGCAGATTGTACCACCAGTATGGCATACTACATCTAGCTAAACATTATTACCTTCAATGCTTGGAGTACACAAATTCTCTGATAGACGAATATCCAGAAATATTAAATCTTCAGCGAGAAGCTGCATTCAATTTGTGCCTAATTTACAGGGACTCTGAAAATTTTATTGGGGCTAGAAATATTATGATCAAATATCTGACAATATAAATATTTATTTGGAACACAACATGTGCTTAACTTACATTGAAGTTGTTATTTTGTAATATAATTTAAATAAAATATAACATTTCTCACTTATGACTATTTTAATTTGAACTTTTCAAAAGCTCACGCTGTTCCTTTTCATACTTAACGGCTTTGCTAAGTCCATCTAGGAAGGTAGATAGTCCAACATTCTTGTTGTTTAGAAATAAAGCGTGTGTAAGAAAAGGTAACTTCCTCAGCATCCTGCCGCTCAGACTCTCACTGTCCTTACTTATTTTCAAAAGCTTTTCTTCGTTCTCGCTTCCAATGTCCGTTATATTAGAATCGAAATTGTAGATGATAATGCCTGTCTGAAATATATATATTTATATTACTTAATTCAGATTTTTGCAGACGACTCCTACCTTGATGAGTTCCACAATACAAGACAAGTATATGTCAAATATGGCTCTCGTCCCGGGTGGTCCAATGTATTGTTTCACATCAGCTCTGTCTACGAAGGCCAGATCTATGGCGTTCGTCATATTCGAGGTGGTGAAGATGATTACATTCGGGTATCGTTTGATCTGATCAATTTGTGTTAGCACTGTGTTTACCACTTTTAAAGCATCAGACGGTTCGTTTCCTTGAAGAATCGAAGTATGTGTCAATTATTATTTTATTTTGTATAACATATGATGATAATACCTGATAAGCAGATTTCTCGTGCATGAGCGAGCGATTCAATTTCATCAATTAACACGCAAACAAGCGTATTGGCAACTTCTATAATTTCTTTGATTTTATCGAACATTTTAATTACCAATTTTCCACTCTGCAAATATAAATTAGGCATTATATGATCAAACAACAAAAACTTTCAACGTACTTCTGAAAACCATTTGGAAAACAAACTGTTGCTGTTAATTTCAATTAGGATGCTTTGCTTGTATTTATCATTCATCCGTATGCATAGCTTCTGAGCTAAAGCCTTACATAATGATGTTTTACCAGTGCCTGGAGGTCCGTGTAACAGGATTACTTTGTTGCAGCTAATAATCTTTTGGTTGACACCTTTCTTGGAAAACTCCATCATTGCATAGGCATAATTCAAAAGCTATAATGATATAATTATAATTCAATAATCAATTATTGTAAGTTGACATACATTTTCTTTTATATTATTGTTGTATATAAGATTCTCCCATGTGTTGTGAATATCAATGGATGGCAACATCCACAATGTAGCCAGATTGACTTCCGTTCCAGTATCATCTTCGCAAACATCATTCTGTGGACCTTTAAGGTCCAATTTATATACATGCCAATTTACATTATCTTTTGAGTAGTCCACTTGTAAATTTACCTCCTTAAAAAAACGTATTCACAAACAAGTTCTCAGAATTTAAAGAAATACTTACATCTTGATTATGTAGTTCATCTATTATAATCTGCTGCACGTCCTCATGAAGAAGCAAATTTTCAATTTTGTCGAACGCTGAGATAATTGTACCTGGCTTAACGCGATTTTTATTCAGAAATTGTCGACAAATTGCAATTACTTCTTTGGTGGAAATTGCGCTAAAGTTAGGTTAGAAATGTAAATACTTTATATTTTCGGTTATACAAATGCTTACCTGGATTGCTTGAGCACAATTTCTACGTTAATTTTGTCCATAATTTATTTATGGCTACGACCAATTGCACAGGTCACACAAGTATTTCATGAACAGAAATTGTATTTGGATAAAATTCACTAAAACGTTAAGACTCTTATTTGAATTTGAAAATGAGACAGATGGCGCTACACCATTTCTATTTGTAGAACGGAAAGTTTCGAACGACTTATTTTTGTGAATAAGGATAAAATAAATAATAAACACCAGAAATGTTTCTAAGGAATATATTTGTATTTATAAACACTGGAATTTATATTCCTCATAATATATATATTATATAACATTATCTCTTAATTTTTATATATGTATAATATTAAATATATTTATAATAATAATAATAAGAGTATGGCAAAAAATGAAATAAACAGGATAAAAATTAAATACAAATTCTTGGCGTAAAACATTTTCAAAAATATTGAGCAGAAACGTTTCTGAGTTTGAACATTTTTTTTCTCTCTATAAGAAATGTAACTAGTTTTTTATTTGTTTGTTATTATATTAAATCCATTCCTCAATCAACTCTTACTTAACTAAACTTAATTCTATTCGTGGAGAAGAGAATGATACACACTAAATAAACTAACTTGCAATGCAATTTAGGCAGTTGCGGAAAAACTAAAATATCGAATCCGATATATGTGTAAAAAATAAAATATTTGGTTATGTCGAGATGGAAGAAAGTCTACCTAATTGAGGAGTGGGTTTGAATTCGATTTAACAAATTGACAGAACGGTGGTGGGCGTTGCGATTAAATTGCAAACGACGTCGGATTTGAGCAGCGAGACATACTTGAAATTTAACCGTAACGTGTTGAAGAGAGAAAGAGTGGTGGGAAGGCGGGGCCGGGGGGAAGTTTCCACCATACAACACCCATTACATCATGAACAATATTACTACGTTACTTGTAACATGATTCCCTGTGATGATAAAATACATGTATAATATACGTTCACATTTATATATGTATATATAGAGAATATAATATAAATTTGTATCGATTTTGGAATAAATTGCACATTTAAAAAGGGACTTAACCGTCGTTGACGATCAAACCGTGTAATAATAATCAATAATTATTGTAAATATATTCCACGCTCCGTACTACTACAATCACATTATGTTCCATTATTTTCCCTAACTTTCAATTTCGGAATTACAATAATTAAAAACTTATATATAAAACCTCTTTTGAGCAAACTCACCGCCGATTAGTGTCTAATGAAATTGGAGGATGAGTGTCGTCTGTTAAGGGAAATTTACTGGTTGTTTGTTTATCAGTTATACTGTTACGCAAACCATTAACTTAAATTTAAATTTTAAAGTAAAATATGAAGGGAAGGAAAGAAACGGGTTTTCTTTCCATGCTGCTTATAAAGCATAGTCGAGTCTCAGTCTGTTATTATCCCATCGTTTTGTTCACATAGCTCAGAATTCTCAGTCTGTTTAATGGTCCCTACAAGATGAAATACACAATTAGTTTATACTGTGACGAATATAATATGACTAATTAAATAACTTACCCGGAACCCTGGTAGTAGTATGGAGGAGGTCTTTCGTATTCGGTGGGGGCTCTCTCGTATTGGGGCGGGCCGCCATTCGGAAAGTCTCCATAATTTCTAGAAACGGTACGGGAAGCAAAAAAAGGAACATTTAGCAAAAAGCCGATGACACAAAAGACAATCACAATAAATGGTAAAAATAAATTATCAATAAATTAAATTTCGTTTATACTAAATTAATAATTATAAAGGAATAAATATAAGCGTTTCAATCAATAACACAACAATGGGCAAAGGACATTCTGTAAAGAAAAACAAACAAAAACTGTTGCCTTTAGAGCTTAGAAATGGGTCGACCCAAAATCCCAACCGCTGAGGAAGAAAAAAATACAAAGCAAGATAAAATTAAGGCCTGGAACTCTTTATAACTAATATTCGTAACAAATGAGGGTTAAACTTACTTGGGAGCCATATCCGCATATCTGGTGTCCTCGTGATGGGATCCGCCTGGATAGTCGTGCCTACGATCCCTATCAGGCATATAAGCTCTGTTATCGCCTCGCTTCTTCTTCTGCTTTTTTTTGTTGGCTTTGGTCCTAGAAAACGAAGACATACATAATGTATTATAAAATCTTTGAATGCGAGAACGCGAAAGAAACGGATTCAATTTGCATGCATTTGATCAAGACCACGTGCGTAATCGTTAAAACAAAACAAGAGACTTACCGAGCCAACGGGACGCTTTCTCGATCAAATGCATCATACAAATAATCGCTGCAAAAGTAAAGTGAATGACATCAGATAAAGCACATTGCGACACTGCTCACAAAGCTTAGACATACATACTTCGCTCAACCCTTTCGAAACACACATAACCACTTATTTGAGAAGATAGAATTTCTGATACTAATAATTTAAATCAGGAATATCCAATCTTTTAGCTTTCCTGGGGCACATTGGAAGAACACATAAAATACACTAATGATAGCTGATTAGCAGTTTTGGTACGCATGAAGCCCATGGATTGGACACGCCTGATTTAAAACAATACAAATCTGAATACTGAACAAGGGTTGAACAAAGAATGGTTGAGTAGAATCTGTAAAGCAAACTTACGATTCGCAGGCCCTGTATTGATCGCGTTTCTGATAAACGCTGGCCAATTTAACAGAAATAATGATTGTCGGTATGAAGAGAACCAGGCACCAAAAGATACTGAACCAAAATCCGTTCTGTAAGTATTAGTCAATCATTAAGTAAGAAAATTATAACAAAACCATGTTGAATACCATTGGAGCTAAGATGTTGTCACATGTTGCAGTTAAAGTACCGTTGAGCACTAAAGCTACCGGACCGCAATCGCCTATTTTTTGTTCAAAATGGTAAATGATCCTAGTCGTGTAATTCTTTGCTTGATCCAGGATAGTAGTTGAAAATTGCTTAGTAATCTAAAGAAATGCAATTATTTAGTTTAAATATATGACATTAAGATAATCAACTTACCGATTTAATCTCTATGGTACCGTTGTTTGTCAAGTAATCTTGCGCGTATTTTATGTTATCGACGAGGTCTTTGATTGCTTCTTCAAAACTGTCTTTGCCGAATCTCATTGCATAATCGGTGGTATTGGCTAGATTCTGTAAGAATATGGTGCTACATACCATTCAATCAGTGATGTTTAGAGAACTTACTATGACTTCGTCAGCGTGCTTCTTCATTGGATTGAAAACCTTTTCAATGTAGGTATCGATGTGCAATTTAATTGTAGTCAAAGATGTGACAATTTCTGTCTCTCCCTTTTCCTTTAAATTTTTAATAACAACATCGATCGCGTTACTGAATTCTCCCAAATCCACATTAGTGAAGTTAATGCTTAGCTAAAAACACAAACAAGTTAGAAAAGCGTCAGATACGAGTTGTAAACGTCAATTTTACCTCAGAGATAACCTTGCTAAAATTATTTTCCAAAGTTAATTTTTGTAATTTATCTAGATCTTCATCTTTTAAGAGGGTGACGCCGTCGATTTGCAATTCTTTTTCCAATTGGTTAAGCAATTCGTCGATTTGAAAATCATGTATAAAATCTCCAATTTTTTCCAAATCGAATTTTTCTTTCAAATTGAACACGTGATAGGCGCTCTTATTATTATAACAGTCTGGAATCATTTTTTGTAGCGTGATGTTAAGTCCAATATTCTTATCCCAGCGAATTGCTTTGTCCAAGAAGATTAATACCTCGTTCATTTGAGGATCTCGCATCGGTTCACATACCATTCGATGCGGTACAACGGCAATGAAATGAGCAAGAAGAACTATCACCAAAAAGAAGGCAGAAAGAAACATTATGGCTACTCCTCTAAGAATAAAAAAAAGATTAGATTGTATAACTTATTATGTGATTCATTAATTAGGTCTTACATGATTAAGAATTTACTACCAGCTCCTTTGTTGCAACAGTCATCATCAATGTCGGATGCCTTTTTACCGCAAATACCGCAGACTAAACCGAGTGAAATGCAGAGGGCTATGAGCAGCAGCACGACACTTACGCCCAGACCAATGTAGAATCTGTACTTTGAATATTCTTTGATATATTTATCAGCAACATTCAATGCCTTCTTTGTCGCTTTATTTAATTTTGAAGCTGTCTCATCCATTGATTTTGTGATGTCAGTTGACTGTTTTTTAATATCATCGCCAGAATCTTTAACAGCTTTCTTCAGATCATCCAGCTTAGTCGTCAGTTTAGATTCTATATTAGTTTGTATTCCATTAAGCTCTGTGATTCCTTTCGATATAGACTCTACAAACTGTTGGTCTAAATCTTTGTCCAATTTATTTATAGAGGAAGTCATATCTGGAATCTATAATAGAAAATTTACGATATTAGATAAAAAAAAAAGATAATTTATCAACAAGTGTATTAAGTGTAAGTTTAGCTATATGCATGTTAGGAAGTCTATTGTGAACATGCGTGTATCTACAACACATAAGCTAGAACTCACCCTGGGAAAATACCTGTCCAGGAACTGCATGTAAAATATGTTAAATTATAAGAAAGATGAAAACATTTAGTTGTGATTTGTTAAAGGGAAAAAACTTACACTATCGAAGTCAATGGTTGTGCCTAATTTGCTCACATAATTTTCTAATAGTTGCGAACAATCGCTTTCTTGTTCACAGGTTTTCAAAGCGGCAAACAGATCTTTTTTCAATTTTCGCATAGCTGAGAAAAAGTACAATTTATTATTTAAAGTATGAAATCAACTCAAATACCGTTTTAAAAATAATTACCATCGTTTAGTTGCGAAGCATCGACCCGTAACTCATTGGTCAATACCTTTATCTTCTTCAAATTGGCTTTCACGGTTTTCAATGTATCAATCATTTTTCCGGCATCCTTTATTGAAGCCGCCTTAGACACCTCAGTTAGTTTCTCGAACAGTATACTACTTGCGTCTATAATAAATATATTCATTAATTGTTTGTAAAAACTCAAGAAATAAAACGTACTGTTTAAAGTGTCGAACAGTGCGTCACTGAACTGCGCAAAATTAGCGTCGAGTAGTACATTGATCTGATCTTTAGTAGAATGTATGTAAGAATTAGTATCGTCCACGCTGATTCTCAAGTTTTTGGTAAGGGATTCGGTTCCATCCTGCATATGTTGATTAGTGACAAAGGCACAAACAACGCCGAACCTAGACGAAAAGTAAGAAAATAATAAGTTTGGAATAAGAAGACTTTGGTATTTATAATTTACAGGATCAAAGTTCCGAGACCGATGAGCAGAGTTGCAAATATCAGCTTCTTGCAGAGATCACTCTTCTTGTCGTAAGACTTGGTCGTTGCTCCACAATTACCGCAACAACGACAGCACCAAAAGCAGAGACCACAAATTGGCATAAACAGAGCGAATGCAACCAGAACTACTAAAAATGTGATGAGCGGCCAGTAATTTAGCAAGATCTTTTGATAATCATCAGTGATGTTGATTTTGCCATCCTCTTCGAAACTGATCAGATCTAGCGGGAAAAAAAAAATGTTTGTTCAAATAATCATAAAACAATAACACAAAAATAAATATCAAATAAACTTTCTCGGTTTGTGCAATAATCCCGTTCTCGGTTGCGCCATTGAAGTAGCTTATTGAACATTATTAGTATCATTATTAAACCAACTACAATTCACTTTTTTTTTGCACCTCTGCTATATCTGTGTCAAGTTCATTTCGTAACTCTAATCGGTATAATTAGATAACAAGCTGGAAACAATTAAAGCTTCCTCTGTAGGCCACGAATATAAACTGAAATACTACATAAAGTATAATCTAATTAATAAATGTAAATATACCTGTGGGCAGGAAATTGATGCTAATGGCTTTGATGTATTTAGTGGTGATGTTGTAGAGGACCGCCATCCCCCGTGGATTAAAGTAGGTAGAGCTATTGTAGTCGTTGCGAGTTTGGATTTCAGTGTAGTTGATGTCAGTAATGCCGGCAAGAACCTCCATCAGGGCTTTGTTCAGGTCTCTGCTTACCAAGACGATGTTCGACATCCTTTCGCCGACCGTCAGGTGCATCAGACCAAGGAGGAACGTGCACGTTAGGACCATTGTAAAACAATTCAAGTTCACCCGATTTGAATTCGGGCTTGTCATCTTCTTCGTCGTCGTCGTGGGCGATACCTCGCCATCACGTTTCTTCAACCGTTTCATGTTTCGCACTGAATCGCCGCCGAAAATACTCGATAATACCCACTTGCTCTTATCTTATCGCATATCACACAAAATGGTACCGCTCTTGGTCTATTCTGAAATGAACGGGAAACCATATTAATTAGTGTGTAATCCTTATATTGAAATTCAATACATCTAAGGAAACCCAACACTCTGACCTTCGTCAACATAATTGTTAAAATAGTCACGTATTTCTTAGAGAGATTAAATGCATATTCATAGTCGAAAACACCAGCACGAAACATTTCTTTTGAGATACATCGACTTTTATTCACTTGCAAGTCTATTCCCACGAAACAATTCTATCAAACTGTTTTCACGCATGATGAAATATTGTCCTTTTGTAATGTTACAACTATGAGATCATAAAACGCACCATCGACGTAGAAACCAAATTACAATTGAGTCTTATAGTTCAAAAGTAGGTGATACTAGGTTTTTATATTTAAATTTGAGACTTATTGTCAGGTGCATTTTATCGGTAATTAATAAATTAACACTTTATTACTAAACTTTTTATAGAAGAATGATATAAGTATTTTTGAAACAACTTATATTATTCATTGGTATTTAATAAGTAATATTATAAAATATATCCCTTCATCAATGCTTAAGTCAGCGGTTTCCAAACTTTATGCTACTACGCCTCCCCGGATTTTTTTTTTTCCGCGCCTCCCCGAAAAAATTTTTCTTTTTCGCGCCTCCCTTACCCTTTATTGTTTTAATAGATTAAATAATATAGACACGTTTTATTTATTTGAAGATATTATGGTATAAAAATTAATTTATTAAAATTTTTGGCGCCTCCCAGTTTGGAAACCGCTGGCTTAAGTCATGTTATTGTTCATTATTAAGTACATACATAATACTTATATTTTATACAAATAAAGCACAAAACAAGGAAATATAAATACGCTACATACCAGGGGTGGTAACTATTCCTATTCGCCCGCCTGTCGGTCTGATAAGTACACATGTCATGATTGATTTTAACTTGAAACTTATTTTTGACTTTAAATTACTTTCTTTTCTACTAACACATACGATGTTGGTAGACTACTGCCTATATCAAAAGTTTTGCCACCCCTGCTATATATGATCACGTATAACCTACAGCAAAAATTCAATTAATTATATCAAATTTATTATTAGTTTCATTATAATTATAATCAGTTTAAAACAATATAATTATTCTTAATTCCATGATCCCGTTGAGGTCTACAGCAATACAAGCATGTTAAAAGCTGACGCGGAATGCAGTGTTCTAATTCCGCAGGCTCATTTGGAAGCGTTTCAAGCCGCCCCTGCACTTCCCGTCTGCCACCCCCGGTCGACTAATTCAAGCCGAAAAAGGGAACAGGATGTCTACAAACGAGAGAATTACTCATTTCATGAAAAACTATTATTTTCGGCCTTATCGGTAATTAAATCTCAAAACCCATTGTCATTCGAAAAACAAAATATTGCGATAAAAACTTTTATATATTGTATAGAATGCAATGATACGAAACTAAAGTGTGCAGGGTATATTTCAAGGTCTGTAATTATACCCCACAGGCTAGTTGCTACGACCACATCTGCTAAGCATATTGTTAGAAGGGAAAACGCTTTGTATAATGAGTTAATTTTCATCGGATAAACTATGTAAAATGAAGTTATGAAAAGATTATTTGGCAGGCCATTCGTACAACAATCCTCGCTGGTTAATTAAAACTAATTGTCACATTGACTCGTCCAATAAAGCTATTAAGAAAATTGGCGCAAATGCGCAGTACACAGCGTAGCAGAATTAGCGAAATCAATTAAGTAGTAAACATATAAGGATATAAGATAAATGAAATGTTAATAAGATGAATTGTATTTCTGTAAAATACATTGATTAATATTTTTGGATCATTAATCCACGTTGAGTATTTGCGATTACACTGATTAATAAACAAAAAAAAACGTGACGTAAGTCAGGCGTTTCCATTTAAACGTTAATCGAAAACATTTAAAAAATATGAAAAAATTATATATAAATTATTGAATGTTGTTAACATTATGTAATTTATGTGGTTTTATAAAAAAAGAGAAACGTGAAGAAGGAGTTACAATGGTTTGCCAAATCTCTCGCAGGTAACAAATAGTTTTCAAAGATTTGGTTGCCCTAAACAAACAGGAATCATTACTAAATACAATTATATTGACGGATTTGGCTAAAATCTTTAAAAATAAGAAACTTCGACGTATTCCATTGTATATTGAGAACAAAACAGTGTAGTAACGAAGTGGTACGTCATAAATTGAGGCGCATGTTATCATTTCGAAAATAAACAATATTGAAACTACTTTCGCAATAAAAAAACAAGCGCTATCAAAATTGCAAGGAGAAATAAACCAATTAAATGGAACAATTGGCGTTTATTTGTTCGTTGATCCACCCTCAAAATCATGAAATTATTATTGCATGGTTGTAACTGATTGTGATTTATTGCGCGTGGCCTTGCTCTCCGGTAAATTTTAATAAAATCAATTAGACTTTTAGCATTAAATGTAAAAACTCCAGCTGTTTCGTAACTGTTCCGCGAACGCGTAAGCAACGGAACGTAAGAGTTTAGTCACCTACGAGTAAATGACTCATTCAAATCTGAATGTATCATAGTTTTACAAAAGAATTTACCATCTTGAATATGGACAAATTTAGATATATAATTGCCAGAACTGAGCAACTGTTTTTGACTGTAAATAAGTAAATGAATAATAATTCGCGAGACAAAGCGAGATAAGGAACATTTATAGTATATACTTTCTAGTGAGTAATAGTAGTTATTGACATAGCACTCCGACTTGTTGCATGCGCTACCAAAGATAATTTGATGGATGATCCAGTTCCCGCAACATACAAATCCGATTAGATAATAATAAGTTGCTTCTGTTGATGAAATGTAAGACTTGCATATGTCTTTGTCCATTTATCAAGATTTCTCAATTCATTTTTTTTTCTGCTGAGAATTGTACTGATCTCATACCTTGAGCAATTGCATGTTTGAGTGTCCACGATTCCTAGAAATATCTAGTCAGATGGAACACCTGATAATAACTAATACATTTCAATTACTGAAAATAAACCTACTGAAATAAATACAAGAAGCTTCATTTCTGAGAGTAATGTAAATTTTCTGAATTAAATTATTTATTAACGCAATGAACACATTTTGATAACATTTTTATAAAAAAATGGAAAGGCCCACTGTCAAATAACCCGTCGTATTGAGATTATGTTCTACTTTATTCTTTCTGCTTTTTATGTAATTACAATATTGTTGCATTAAATTTTGTCAATATTAATAAAAGTTAATTGTATTTTTAATAAAAATGAACACGAAGTAAATAACATATAAACTTCGTGTCTGTATGTCATCAGTTTTCAAAATCCAATATTATAAAAGTAGAATGGTTACTTTTTCGTTTCAAATACAAAAATGTCAATTTACGCTAATCATATCATATTGCTAAGAATCGTATTCTAATTATTAGGAAGTGTGAAGAAACGCGGATCGCAATATATAAATTCGTATAATGTCGACTTTATGTTTCGAAAAATATGCATATTTATCTATTTTATATGTGATATGATTATCACATATATTTATATTTAAGTATTTTTCCTTATTTCGTTAATACAATTCAATAATGTGACTCATTGTTCAGTTTTTAAATATCAATTTTAAAATGAAATATTCCTAATCGTTTTTTGTAATGAAATAATCACCGAAAACCATACGGATAAAAGCAATTGTTCGCTTGCAATATATTTACCCAATGATTGAATCACACCATAATCTGTGGAAATCTTAAACAACACTTTAGATTTAAGTATTAAGCGATAATTAAGCAACCTAAATAAGACTATATTATGTCCGCTATAATGTATGTAATGTAATTATATGTGATAATTAATATTTAAAAATAATAATATTAGAAAACATAAACAACTTAATTAAACTATAAATACAAGTATTGATAATGCTTAAATGATGTTTTAAGTATTTCTATGTAAATATTAAAGAGTAATATCTAATAAACAGGAGATGCGTGCATTTTGGTTCAAGAAAAATGCAGTATTTGAGCCTGTTATCATCAAGTCAAGTTATCAGCATCACTGACTGAAATGCTTATTCTATAAATAGACATTTTGGTGTATAGGCCCGACCACACACGCATGCAGCACAATGGTGCAATACAGATGAAAAATTAAGAGATTAGAATTTAAATTGACCCGGATGATGGAGATGATGATGATGCGAGTGCCATTAATACGAATTCGCGTTAATAGAATCAATTGAGGGGGATGTCAGAAGTTAAAAAGATAGAAACAAGGACAGCAACAAAAAAAAGCAGAACGGAAGAGAACGGAGCCCAAAAAACTGGTGACCCAAGATCGACGAGAAAGGGAGGCTGTGGAAGCTGAACTGAAATAAAAGTTTAACAAAGGACAAACGATCTGTTAATAAACAAATCAATAGGATACATACCTATAGGATATATACTATTAAAATAATTACGATAGATTAGTAGTAGGAACGGAAAAAAAAACAAGAAATTACCGTTAAGTGTAATATCCTTTCCCCGTAACTGTTGTTTTTCTTTCTTCTTCTGTCGCTCCTTCGCCTCTTCACTTCCTTTTATTCAGTATACCGTGTAATCCTTTATGTTGTCATTGCACTAGGTGAATAATCACATGTGACACTGAGATCATTCGAATTGGATGATCCTGTGTTTTTCACATCAAAGTGGGGTCGGCTCTCAGACCAGAAGTTCAGTTTGTTTGTACACAAGAGAGGGCAGCTATGGCCGAGACCGCAACAAGACGTCCGCACAAGACGAACGATCGCAGCTAACTGACTGACATGCGCACCAACTGCCATTCACAAAAACCCAAGAACTCTTCATTTCCCCACCCACGTAACGACAAATTCGTACCGATTAATGAGGATGATGCAATTATACTAACTGCAAAAGCTTATTTAATCATTCAAAAATTTCTCACGATTGCAAGCCGAGCGATAATCGCAAAACAAGTAATGCAAGCTTTTCAAAAGATTGAGATAATTTGGTGGCGACCTCTACGTGCATTCTAATTTAACTTTACTCAGTTCTTCGAAGCAACAATCATAAATTACCTAAGCTCCGGATTTCCAATATAATCGCTTTTTTTTATCATAATCCGTTATAGATAAAAATTACGTCTGTTACTGATTAATAACAGTTAGTAACTTAAGCCTTGGTTTACGAATGCAGCTAATTTAATTAGAATTCAACAAATTATTTGAGGAATAAAAACGTTCTTTAATATTATATATATGTATAAGTTATAACAAGAACACCCAATTTTTAAAATTCTTTCACAGCTTTGATCTGCTTATTATTTATTACGAATAATAATATATTTACACAAGATTTCTTTTAACCTTCTCCAATCTATTCCATATTAAAACACTTCCTCTCACTCTCTTCTCGAAAAACCAAACAAACTTAATTGGTAACTGTTTTTTTTTACAAAAATAAATTAAATACTCTCATTGCGTGTTATTGCGTTTCAATAATACAAAAGGATAGCGCAGAAACACAATTTGTCAATAAGAAGAACATAATAAAGAGAACAGTTATTAACAATATAGTTATTGCTTTCAATTGATTAACATTAAACAGAATCCTCTCCGTTTCTTGTATTATTAAGCCGACACGTTCATATGCTTTGTTTAAAAAAAAAAAAAAGATTATTTATGTTTTATCATAGAATACGTTAGCAAATATGCCACACATTTCCCACATCATTTTTATTTCGTTTGTTTTAAAAGTTAATTTTAAAATTGTATGTCTCGTTATTGTTGTTTGTTACTTCTTCCATGCATTCGCGGTATCGTTGGTCGTCTGGCCCAGCACGGGATAGTGATATTCCATGTAGTGATTGCTGAGATGCTGCTTCAGCTCTTGATGGAAGATGATTTGTTTGCAGGTCGCGCACTCCTCTAGATCGTCAACGTTGCTATTGCGCTTATGAACTTTGAACAGTTCCTGTTGCTTCTCAATGTCCGGTAAGAGAACTAACATCTCAGGAAATACCTTGGAAAAACCATCGCCAAGCACTTCCTTACAATGATTATAATATTTATCCGCCGAGTAATTACCGTTGCGGAACATGTACGAATAATTCTTGAACTCCATCATTATATCCTTATTGGTAAAGAAATTCTGGATCAGATTACAATTTCTACTGCTGAAATTGTGTGGGTGACTGTACGAATGGCCCGGTAGAATTGAGTAGGATTGACCGCTGCTATTTGTGAACGTCAGGTCGTTGGTCGATTTGATATTGAAGCCAGGTGGTGGTTTGACATTTATACCTGGTGGTGGTTTACCCAGAGCCGGGAAATCAGCGGCTTTTGGAGCTTGGTTCTGCGGCACTTGCTGTTTCTGTACCAGATTACCAATTTTCAAAGTTGACGTCTTCTTGACTACTTCGTTGATGGGGATGGTTTGCTTAGGCTCAACTCGTTTGATTTCGTTTTCTAAATTCAAGGCACTTTGGTTGGCAGAACTTTCGCCGTTCTTTCCTTTCTTCTTTTTGCTCTTATTGCCGCTGGTCGTAGCAATATTGTTATTAGTAGGTGGAGTGGCGGTGGCAGTTTCCGTAACTTTTTTCTTTCCCTTGTTATCTTTCGCACTTTTCTGTTTATTTTCCGAATTTTTTGATTGCTTATCGTTCGATGTTTCGGACCAATTCTTCATAGGCATCGTAACACTAGATGTTTTTTTGGTATCGCTCTTCTTCGAGAGACTGGGGAATTCCGCTAAGCTGCTAGGCGGAAGAACGGGAGCAGGAGCTGCCTTTGGTTTGGGCTCCTTTTTGGGTTTCGGCTGCACCCACTGCTTTACGGAACTATTGCTTGACGATGAACTCGAATTTTGACTTAGCGCAGGAAAGTCTTCAACAGATTTCGGCCGAACGTGAACTGTAGTAGTTGGCACCGTCGATATCTTCGTGGTCACAGCACCGTTAGACTTGTGATTTACATGTATAGACAGATTGGACCTACCAGATTGAGGTTGCTGTTGGCTGAAACAAATGTTTAAATATTTCATATAATGTATAATTTCTAATGGTTATACTTTAGTGTTAATTTGAGAGTACTGCTAGGACCTTCTCTCTCACAAAGCGAAGGGAAATTATGTTTGTTCTTTTTGATTTGTGGAGAGGATACGCCTCTAAGTGACATCGACGAGGAACTTGAAGCTGTTGAAGTTTTTGTAATTGTGATATTATTCTTAGCACCTCCCAGTGTGGGAAAATCTTCCGATTTCTTCATTTTTTGATTGGATATCGTTAGATTACGAGGAAGTGGACCACCACCTAAAAAATAAGTAGTCAGAATAATCCTTCCCGTATACACATATTTGAACGCAATGGGTGAAATGACATTACATTTCACCCATTGCGTTCGACAATCATTGATTAATATCACAGTGGTTAAGATGTATCTTCTTTGCCCTTGCATAAGAATTATACAATTTTTAATGTTATAGTAAAACTATTATTTGTCAGGCTATACTAATCTTTAGTTTGAACTAACCTAAAGTAGGAAAATCATCACGCGAAAAATTGCCTGAGAATTTCGATGAGAATTTGACGTTCGCTCGAGCAGAAGAGGCGGATCCTTCGGTACCACCCAAAGTGGGAAAATTGGCATCCCTCAATGGATTTACAAACACTTGATGATTGGACCCTCCAGGTTCAGTTCCGAAGTTCTCATATGACGCAGCACCATCACTGTTGTCGATATGCCTGTGATGATTGTTGTTACTCTGACGAGGGCCATTCTGATCGTTACGCCTAGGCCCAAAATTGAACTCAACCTCCAATGTCCTTGCCTGCTTATTGGCTGCGCGGCTCAAATGCTTTGAATGCGCGGACGCAACGTGAGCTTTAAAAATAACAGTTACATCTTAAATCGCCTAAACATTAAATTACCAACCTTTATAATCGATGTCTGTGCGAAAAACGGACGTGAATTGTTCATTTTTGCAATCACCTTCCTCACATAAATAATGTTCATCCAGAAAATGATTCTTTAAATCATCGTATGTAGGATAATACTGGTGTTTGCCATCGGCATCACAAAAATGACAATACAGATGGTCCCTGCGCAAATGTCGGAACAGTTCATCCCCATCCAAATAACGCTGATCGCAAAACTCACAAAGCGGATGTCCTCTGAAATATAAGAATAAAAGATCAGTTACTTTTACATTAATATATATATAATATATAGTAGAATACCCTATTCTCAAAATAAATAAGTGAATAACATTGCTTTTCATGTCTACAACTTAGTCTTTTTATAAAAAAAAAACACATTAAAGTACCATTTTCCATAAAAAATTGAAAAAGAAAAAAAAAAATCAGATGTGAAATAATGAGTGCAACATGTATTATTCATGTAAGATTATGCAATATTACCTGTGCGATTTATTATCGGAGTCTCCTTTCCTTCTGTGCTGTGCTAGTTCACTTCTTGTATAGGTTCGCCTTTCAAATGAGAATATCTTTAAGTTATCTACACATATATCGCAGTAGAAAAGTTCATGTTCTCGGCGCATATGGTCCTTTAGTTGATTAAAAGTTTTGAATGGCCATTTCCTCTCATGAGGTAAACAAATGTGGCAAGCAAACTCTAATAGACGATAGTAGGCAGTTTGAATGGATGGAGAACAAAAGTACATTCCATATTTGACATCTTGAAGGTTAGTCCTCTCAGTTTTAGAGCGAAGGTTCTCAAACAGATCAATCTGCTTAGTGAAAATCACCTGAAATATTGAACATATGTTAATTATGTAATCATGATAATGTTTCGGGGAGATGCTATATACCTTTGGTAGGTCTGCCCTGCATATGGGGCATTCATTCTGCTTGCACAGCACCCTCATGCGAGTAGAGCACTCGTAGCAGACAGGATGCTCACATTGTCCAATGGAGTAGATCTCAACACTCTTGAAGCACACCACACAGGTGCTCTCAGAATCGGCGGAGTTGTTCATCACGGCAGTTGCCTCTCTCGACATGGTTTCGCTATGTAATCTTAGTGGGTGCACAAAGAAATACCTAAAAACCCTTTACTGCAACCTATGACTGCAAACGACACACTCTCAAACACAACACAACCTTACTTTTGATCAAACGTCAGAGATACAGCAGAAAAAACTAGGGGATTTCTATACTATTCTTGAAAGATTACAACAATATTCACGTGGAGGCGCCACTGTACGAGAACACGTGGAATTTTTAACTGTTTAATCACCTATAAAGGCTACAATATATTTATTATTTTAAATTAGAACAACAAAAACTTATTTAAAAGAAGACATATAATAAATTATCTAAATATATTTAACTATTCACAAATATTATTAATACGATCAATCTTTGATTTTTTCTAAAATACAACACATTTAACACAATTTCAAAAAAAATAACAAGATTTTTTTGTTAAAAAAATATTTAGTTTAAATTTTGCGATACACTTAAATCATGATGGTATTTTAAACACTTAGTGCTTTAAATTATAATAATAATGTTTATTGCAATAGTTATGGAAAGTAATAGATTTATATCAATTTAAGGAAAGTAGTAGCTACTGAATTATATTAACATTTATAGAATCTGCAACATCATTTTTAATATTAAAGTTGATATGAAAGTTGAAATGACATCCTTCTTCAATTTAGTTTCAGTTCAAGACTTTCAGTTCAGTTCATCTCATATTTTAGTTAAAAATATTAAAAAAAAAATGTTCGAATTTTTTGTTGATCGCGTCTTTTCAGTTTATTTTAAAACGACAATTTGGATACAAGTTAATATACAAATTGTTATAAAATATAATGCAATGAATGATTTTTAAATTTTAACATGTTTCTCATAATTTTTGAATTTAAATAAACAATAAATAGGTTTATAGTCGTAATTACAAATGTAATCAAAAAAAAAGTATTACAGTGAAATCAATCAATTTGTGTTCTATATAATATACGTAGTGTAATTCCATTTCCATTGAAATTTAATTAAATTCATTCAGTATTATGATTTTTTCCTGACATGGGATCCGATTACAATTTAAAAACGTGTGAGCGAACGCAAAGTGGAAATTGAACACGGATGCAATGGAAATCGAATGAAGCGAATGAATCACATGCATTTCATTATTTAATTTGTTCATATGTCCAGTGGAAATGGCAGAATATTGACATTCGTTTATACGCATTTCCGATTTTTATGCTGTTCAATTAACGAATTGTTGATATTGTATTCAAAATCAATTTACTCTATATTCTAATATGACTTTTTCTTAACAAAATGAAAGTATTTTCAAAAGAATTATAAAAAACAATGAATAATTAAATACAAGTAACATCTAAATCAAATCAAGTCTCCTATTTGAATATACATAAAAAAATATATAAAAAACAGACATAAACAATATTACATTAAAACTAATGCTATAAATACGGAATTAATTGAAGTAAACTTATTTTTTCTTGAATACTTCCAGAGTAGAAACATGACTACGTAATATGTAATTCTTCAATTCTAAAATAAGAATTATACAAAACGATTTTTACGGTTTTATTCGCACCAAGTTTATCCTTTTCATATAAATTTAGTAGCATATTTATTTTCCGATGAATAAATAAGCGAAGACTTAAAAAAGTTTTCTTCGTACATTGTGTTTTCTTCAACACAAAAGGTTGGCATAAAAATAATATAAATGAATTACAATGAAAAATAAATGAGAAATATAAATCATACATTCAAATTCGGCATCAGAGTGGAATTTTCCGTGATTTAGTTTTTTTTTTCATAATCGTCAATAGATTCTTCAATTTTTGAAATAAATATTTTTTTTTTAACCCTCCACTCATTTAGTGTAAGTAAGTAACTTAGCTCACACCTTGCGGTATATAGCCAGTCAAGTCGAACATACTCTATAGTTGCAAAGTCAAATAAATACAACAAAAATATTATACAATAGAATAAATAAACAGAGAAGATAAATATGTGTTTAGAATTCCAATGATGGCTTCAATATTATAGGAACACTCAAATATTATATGGTTAGTTGATCCTACCATACCACATGTATAATTTGAAAAATCTACCATATTCATTCTGTAGAGGTGGGATGGTGTGTAGGTGTGGTCGTATCGCAGTGTTCCCAAAGTAGCTACTTCAAATTTTAATTTCAATCCTAGTCTATTATTGATTGTGGGGTTCCATGAAAAATATTCTCTACTTTTAGTGATTGTCTTCCTCTCATAGAGTCTCTGTAATCTGTTCATTTGGTCCACAACTATACTAGTATACATATCAGAGTAGGTGATCCTTGTTTCAGTTTGTTCTTTTTAGTGACCATAGCTTACCAAAGGAGTCTACCCTCTCATTGCCTGGAATCCCAGAGTGACTTGGTATCCAGCTAAAGGCTAATTTTATGTCCCTCTCTGTGAGTCGCTCTAAAAGCATTTTAATTTTTAAAATAAGGGCATTTACTTTGTGATTGCTTAGTATAGAGCTAATTGCATCCAAACCGCTCTTAGAGTCTGAGAAGATGACTACTCTTGGCCAATAATATTCCTCTGTCAGAAGTTCTGCTGAATATACAGAAGCCAAGTCCACTAGACTAGTGCTTCCCAACCTTTTTATCGCCGCGGACCGGTTAACGTTTGATAATATTAACGCGGCCCGGCGAGAGGGGGGACGTGATTTAACATTTTAACTCACTAGTTAAATCTCACTACTCACTCACTAGTTAAATCAATGAGAAACATGAGCTCGTTTCTTTGCAACGAGGCGGTTCCAACTCCTCAACATATAAACCATATGCCATAGACCTTGTACCTCGTCGAGCTGATCCATCTCTACACGGATGGTTCAGTATATTACTGTTTCTACCAAACTTGTATAAAAATAAAAAATTCTGAGTTGAAATACATATTCAAATGTAATATATATTTTCAAAAGATTTGAAAAAAAAACACTTTAAGAGTAATAAATAATTAAGTAATAACGAACTATTTTATTTTAATACTAAATGAATATTGAAAACAGGTGTTGCGTTCGACTTATAAGAAAATGGTTTATTTATTTACCTTGAAGATGTATGATACTATACAATTTTTAATAAATATGTTTTAAGTTGCTTGTTTTAGATGATTCTAATGCAGTATTTGCTAAAAATAAAGAGCAATTTCAAGAATAGATAAAACATACATCAATTACACAAAAGACAATGATATAAATAATAATATTTATTCTAATGTAACTGTTACAAAACTTCATACAATAATAAAATAAATGAAGATAAACTGCTGCAAAGAGATATTTCTGCCCAAGAAATGATAATATAATGTCTTAAGTTTCAGTATGTGTTCATAAAGAGTGTAAGAAATTTGACTTCAGACCAATTTATTTTAAAACTAAAAGTATTATTAACTAACTTAAACTACATTTTAGTTTACAGATTTTTTTTATGTCGTGTAATTTTATTTACAATCTGTTCATCAATGTGAACATTGAGTAAATTTAAGATCGCGGTTAACATTAGATAGGTAATCTTTCCCGATGGATAGTTACCATTATGATGATTTTTTTATTTTTAATTTGTTGGTTGGATGTAGTCTTGTGGGTTAACTTCAGTAGTATATTGATGCTCTGCGATTCCACTATTTCTTTTCACTGTGAATCTGCTGCTATCCTTAACACTGTCATTGTCCATCGACTTGGCTGAAGTTCCATATGCTGAACCTCATTCATTTCACTGTCCATCTGTGATGAACGATGGACCTATTGCTGCAAGCACCGAGAGGGCTCTCAAAGGACCTGGCTTGACCAGGATTTGAACCTGACCACTGGCACATGGGTAGGGCGACTTAACCATTCGGATTTTAGTCGCCTAATCTATAGATAATAAATATAATATTATTTTTCAATAGAAAGTAATTAAACAGTAAAGTAAATATTTAAAGTTATTATACACATATTAATAGGCCATTAAATATATGTACTGAAAGGAGACAGGAATAGTTCCGTTAAATATGTTAACTCTTACGAAATAGTACAACTGATTTGTGATTTTGCAAGAAACAAAGAAATGTCATATCACGCGGAAGGGAGATGGAAGCACGTGAGAGATAATAATAGATTTTTCCCGTTTTTTTTTTTAAATTTTAACATTCCGCATGTCATTAATTTTTTTTGATATAATGTTTCAAATCATTGGGAAAAGGATGTTTTGATCTACCAGAAGATCTACAAAACATTCAAATGGAATGTTAAGTTGATAAAATTCAGCATTTCCGACACCGCCTTTTTTCTGCTTTTAATCAAGGATTTAAGACCGCGAAAGCTGCTCGCGACATTTGTGCTGTATATGGGGAGGGTGCCATAGCTGAAAGAATCTCTCGTGATTGGTAAAAATGGAAATTTTGACCTCAAAGACGCACCTCGTTCTGGTCGTAAAAAAGCGACACCGCGCGTGAAAGAAGATCTTCTTCCACGTAAAAATATGTTGTGCGTATGGTGGGACTGGGAAGAGATTGCGAATTGCTTGAACGAAACCAAACGGTCAACGCGGAACTCTATGAAACGGCATGAACTTAGTTGCCAACGCAATACATTCGACAGAGCTAGCGCCGGCTCTGATATTTTGGTATAAAAGATGCACTTCAAATTTAGAGACGATTTATTGAAAAACGTATTTTAATGTCTTCGGTCTTTTTTGTTTTACGCTCATTTTTTCTAATTTTAGAATAAACATTTTAAAGATTTATAAATGTAATTGAAATTAATCGTACAAAAACGTAGTACTATCTTCATTGGCGTGCCATTTTTTTCGGACTATAAAACGTACCTCAAATTTAGAGACGATTTATTGAAAAAAATATTTTAATGTTACCTTCGGACCGTAAGACGCATCCAGAATTTATTTATTTTCTATGTAAAAAGGTGCCTCTTATAGACCGAAATAGTTTATATATGCGTATATAAATTGATTTTAACATTTTACTTATAATCCACCGGTATCAGGTGTATGGAATCTTGTACCAAAGTGAAATTGAATATTAAATGTATATATTTTGCAAGTTTACTAAATTTCTTTAAAATACAACTTACTCAGGCCTCATACAAGAATATGATAGGAAACTTTCTGACAAAAGAAGAAGCTAAGAAACAAACAAAAGGTTTGTAAAACTTTGCATCAGAAGCAGCAATACTTTAGAGAATTTGCTTATTTGCACATATTTTTAAAGCAATATAAGGAAGTCTTTAAGCAAATGAATCATATCCATTTTCTACAAAATGACAACAACATGGAATTTAAATGAATCATTTTCGATGGTTCTTGCATTATAGTAATAAAGGTTAAGCGTGAAATATTGAAGAATTAACTTGGAAAAACAATAAAAAGAGTTGAATTGATTGCAAAATTTAATGAAAAGTAGAATTTATCAATGCTAAAACATATAGAAAGTGAAGTCAAACTACTATATAATTATTATTAGGTTAATTTGAACTTTCAAAAAAAAAACACAAATAAAAAGCATCACACTTACTATCAGCAAATTAATTATTTTTTATATTGCTGAAAACTACTACATCGATAAAGTTGACATAACTCCGATAAACGTGAATTCAAAAAAGTTGCTAATAGGTAATATTATATTCATAGGAGTTGTAAATAGTATATTTAAGCAAAAGGAGCACAATCTTCTTTGGCCAACTAAAGTATTATAACACTGAGAATGCAATATAAAAAGATTCTTGTCAGAGAGACTATTAGTGATCAATACATAGAGAGTCGATAGCAAAAGAGCATGTTACTTCGATTGTTGTTACTTCGAATGAGCCCAAATTTCCTTATGTGCAAACTGGATTGGATGGTTGGGTAAAGCAAAAGGCTTGAGAACGTAGTATTTTTAGTTGGTAGGAGGAAACATCGGCCAATAGTTTTTCAAATTTTCAGGAATGGAAATTGTGTAAAAAAGAAGTGCATGAAATATCTGGCAGTATTGATCGATGGTAGCTTCACCTTCGCACAGTAAATAAACAAAGCAGCTGAAAGAGCGATAGAAGCAAATGCAACAGGGTCGAAAGTGGCGCAGTCCATAATGTTATGTACAGCACTTCAATGGGAGACTGTAATGCAGGTGTACATATACATGGGTGCATTGGAGATAAAAGAAAAGATGAAATCAGAGTAGAATTTGCAAGAATTTAATGCTGCTCATGTTATTGCTTGTATTTCACTAATCGGACTGTAGACAACAGAAAGAAAACATTTCGGGGCAAACAGAGAGATTGCAAGAGAACATCTAATTAATAAGTTGGTATAATCTTAGCAGAACCAGACGTGTTAGTGAGTAATAGTCATCAGAATTACAAGAAAGCAGCCTGTTTATTAAAATTATCAATTATAACAGTCACTTGCTTGGAATAATGTTGTAGTTGTAAGATGTTTTCATTTGTACATCATAAATAATACAGGACTACAAATCTAGACAAAATCCCATGGTATTCAGATTTCCAGCACAGAAGTGTACAAAGAAGGCTAATTTCTATACTTTTACTAGCAAGCAATATAATTTATTTTGTTACATTTTTGTAATTCTAAAATATATTTTAGTATAGTAGAATAATTAGTATATAATCAAATAATACAGAATATTATGGCGTTATAAGTTGGAAGAACATTCCAATATTCTAAAATTTTAATTAATATATTGTGGGACAATTTTCAAACTTTGTATAATTTTAAATATTTTGTTAGTATTTTTGCTGACTATTGAGTGACAATCGGCTGTCAAAACAGGAATATCGCGTGGGCGTCAATTTGATGAGGTTTCATGTTTAGATTATTAAAGCCAATTTCGTTGGGATACGAATGCATCTCGGTAATAATGAAATTGTGGGTTTCCTGATGAAAATGTAGATACTTTCTATGTGCTAGATATGGACGCATGTTCCAGTGTATTCGATTGGAAAATGTATCAATCAGTCTTTACAGTAATGTTTACAAAGTGCGACACGCAAATCAATATTTTTCATAAAACTTTAACGACTTGGAAAAGAACGTAAAGCAATATTGATTTTCCATTTGCAACACACTTAATAATGTTAATATTAAGGCAAACTTCATGGAATATTTTGAGGTTTCTCTTTAGTCTTCGCAAAGGTATCGACTTGTCGATTTGTTGCGAACTTATAATATACATACACTATGTACATCATCGCTCTATGTAAAGTCAATAGTTAAACAATGAGTATGCTCTAATTACCGAGAAACGACAAGTTTATAATGCAAAATACAATTATATCATTATATAATGTGACTTAGACAGTGATCGATGAAGGAGATAACAAATAACTTAGACAGTATGTAAAACGGATTTAAATAGATATAAATTTTGTATTATATAAATAAATTTAATAGGTAGCAAAAAAAAATAGTCGGTTAGGTTAGATGTAATTTTATACATAAATATAAATTATTAATATTACGCTGTTTATAGAATCGTTCAGTTAAGAAATATGCATTTTTATATTAAAAAATGTTGTTAAAATAAATATTATAAACTTGGATGCAGAGGATGCGCCGGGTAGTGAATACTTTAAATGCTGACATTTTTATTGAGTATTAATCTAATTCTTACATTGCAAAATCAAATGCAGAATATATTTCTATAATAAAAATAGTAATAGTAAACTGTTTTAAAATGAATATTTAATTATACTAAAGCTTTAATGTGAGGATCAATAATACTATATTATAATAGTCACAACATATTAAGAACAAAAATTTATAATAATAATACAATATAAAAGTCAAAGATTTTTAAAAAATGAAACAAAAATAACATTACAAACACGTTTTTTTAAATTAATATTTTATTATGAAATGTAATTATTGTTTTTTTAATATTATGTATGAAAACCAACATCCCGTAAGTGACCACTATGTTCTTGCTCACAAATACGGGCATTTTCCATGATCGTACGCAAGGTTTCAGATCATAAACATCGGATTTTGTCTCGAATGTTCTCCTTAATTTCTTGAATTGTTCAAGGGTTTATCAATTAACCACAGAAAAATACCAAACAAATTCACCATTTTTCACCAAAACTTTCTCGCATGGGATCCATCATCATCTGTAATCAGTGCAATAGTTCCATTAACCCGAACTGTTTGAAATAGGGCTAATCAAGAAATTAAATAATATAGATAATTAAACCGCTTACATGGGACTTCACTGTATAACGATTTTTTTTGTGTATATAAAATGTAATTTTGAGTACATATTTTTAAGATGTATTTTCATTTTTCGATTAAATTTTAGTTTGTCTTAAAATTTTCAAACCAGACTATAGTGAATCCACACTATGCGAGGTATTGCTGAACATACACTATTAATTAGAGATTCGGTATTAAATGACTACAATTCCGAACATTTTACTTATAATTTGTTTTGATAACAGTTAAATTATACTCATATTAAAGGTATGGAATCATTTTTAAGATTTTCTTAAAAATTCATTATACAATAAATGATATCGTGGAAAAGAGCTGGCACGTTGGCCAGTTACATTTGCTTTAAGTTTATAGAATTATTATTTTATATTTAATCATCATTTCATCTATTTACGTTAGAAACGAAAATTATTCTGTTATCATTTATTTATTTAACAAATTGTATTGACCATTAAGAGTAAAGGCTATTAAAAGACCACGTTACGTCAGTGAAGTATATAGTTGTGGTGCTCACTCTCCAGCCCGTAGCAGAGAATTTCCAAGAAGGAAAGACAAGTGTTAATGGTACAGTCTCTCAAAGGTATATACGATGGCACTTGTATGATCGCTCTCTTTTCTCTGTGTCGCGCTATTCAGTAAAGTTCTTTGCTTCTCTCTGTATTGTTTATCGTTTGTTATGTCTTTAAATATACTACTTATGTGAGAATACCGCCGTTGTGGATTTATGTGCTTTTACACACATTTTTCTTCTATACTTACAAAAGTATAGAAAATATACAAAAAAGAGCAGCAGTTTACATTAATTTTATTTTTGTTGTTATATTATTGTATTGAGATTATAAAATATATTTTGGTAATTTATTGTAGCAATAAATATTATTATTTTTGATTTTCTATATAATATGTAACCAAAGTAAAATTAATAAATGACTGATAATAGTATATGAATGTTGTTTTTTTCTCTGAAAACTATTTTGTTTACATGATATATATATTTATTTTTAATTCATTCTTAAATTCTGAAGGATATTCAGTTATTTATACATTTCAAATGTACGATATAATATTAAATAAATTAATTATAATTTCAAGGCCATTAAAAAAAATATAAAATTATAATAAATTATAAAAAAAATATATATCGTATAATGGTGTTTTATGGTGTTTATTCTGACATTTTTTATAGACCTTACAAATCTATAATTACAATAAAATATCTAATCCAAGAGATTGCATTGGCGTATTGATGAATATATGTAGATTTAGTTTGGTTGTCTCAGAAATTCATTTAATTCTCTACCTGTTGATGACTGGTTTCCGTGCGCTGGTTGCGACACACGCAACCCCCTCTCTCCGCTACGTTTTCACCATGGAAACCCATCGAGAAGAGGTCCACGCGCGACTTAAAAGCGCGTCGCGACGCTCGGACGGCGCTCAGTGCGGGAAAATCGGGCGGCGTGAAGGACGGAAAGCACGATGATCGCGATGGAATAACTTCCGACAGCATGAAGTTAGTGACTTACGCGCTTCTCCTTCTGGAGTTCTCCTCTGCCATTGTGACGATGGATGATGCGATCTGCACAAATGATGTTGTAGCTAATAACAGTGCCGACGAATACAAGTATCTCTACAACTATCTTACTGGGACCGGGGCGCACAACTTCAGCGAATCCGTGACCATAGGTTTCCTGGGCGCTTACGGCCAGACCCAGGTCGTCCTCGGAGCGCTCCCTTTGGCAATAGAAGCCGTCAACAATGACACGAGTAAGCACATTACATTAATAACATTCAAACAGATGCTCCCATTCAGAACTGTTTTCTCTCCCAAAGCATTTCGTTTTTTGAATTGGAAATAACCGATGTTATTATCAATTCGGGCCCATCAATGTGTTAATAAGAGATCAAAGCAAACCTCCAAACTGCGCCCTGAGCGCATCACATTAGCCGGGAAATTATATCTTCGATAACATTTTTATAGTTCAGTTTTCCTTCAACTTTTTTACTGTTGTTTTAGATTTATTGCCCGGACGGAGACTCATCTATATGGCGGCGGATATAGGGACGAATCCTGTTAGCTCAGGGCTTGCACGCGGGAAGTCCAGCCACGCTGCGAGGGCCATCCGCATCATGACACAAATGAGGGACAATGGTACCATAGCTTTCATAGGTCCAGATGATACCTGTTCTTCGGAGGCTCTAGTTGCGGCTGCCTGGAATCTACCCATGATTTCATATGTAAGTGTATCAAGTTTCTCTGGAATTCATAACATGGCAAACTTTTAGAAAAAAAATATTTTCAAGGATTTATATGAATTACATAAAATATTTTAATATATAATTTTAAATAGTTATTTTTGTAATTATATTGTTGAAGTACACTTTTTATATATTATAAATGAATAAAATATAAAGTTTCCATCAATTGTAAACTTTTTTGATATAAAATTATTTAAGTGTATGGCAACTTCTTAAAGAGTAAAAAACAGTATATATGTATGATAGAGAAAACTTTTATAAGAATTTCTTTTAGAAATGTGTTAGTGAAAATATGAACCGAATAGAATATCATTTAAAAACTAAATGATATGAAAAGCAAAAAAAAAAATATTAAAAAAAAAACAAGAAAATAAATATAATATTGTGTTGCAGTAATCTAAACAATTTGCATCTATATAGACACATTTATTTAAAACTGGACTTACAAATCATTTTAAGTAAGTGTTGTATGTTGGTTTTATCCAACATACAACATATTAAAATAAGAAAATATTTTTGAAGAAAATTATGAGTGACGTAGTAAGGTGATCTTGTATAACATTCTTAATGGATGCTGAAAGTGTAATAGTATTCTCTGTTAGAAAATCATTAAGGTATATAAACGGTGTGTAGGAAAGTCTGAAGTTTGTTATTCGGGATTAAAATATTATTTTTGAAAATTCAGATGGAATTCATATAAGTTTTCTTACACATACTTCAGTATAGACATAAACATTTGAACACTATAATAAATATTTGTTTCTTGTTTCTTACCAACTTAACAATTAAAATATTTCTCAAAAACAAATGAGAAATATACACTAGAATTCTAGAATATAACATCATTTGTTAATACTATGTGTAGTACTACAAGATATATTAAAATAACAATATTTTTATAAGCATATATTAACAAATATTACTAGTTTTATAAGTTTTATTACAAAAATACAAAATTTATGTACTCAATTTTTAATGAAAATAAAATAAAATTTGATATCAAAAGATTTTAAATTACAATTACATCTATATAAATATATTTTTTTTATCGTACAAGGAAATCAACATAATATTAAATTGTGTATTTGATAAAGAATATACAAAATATTTAATTCAATGTCACCAAAAAATAATGAATTGATAGCAGAAAATTGTGGATTTGAGATTCTTATAATATTTGCTTGAATTGACAAAGGATTTAAGTTTTTGAATTCATTCTTCAAGAAAATAGTTTCGTACAATTACATATTCTGAAGGAATATCCGAACTTGTTCACCTTCACTTTTCCACAATGGTCTCTTGGACACTTGTATGTGAATAGCATTGAGTAACAAAATTGAAGTCCGAAAAGACAAATTAGTGAAGAGTATTCAACAACAGAAGTCTCATTAATTTGGCACATCGTAATTATCGATATTATAATTATTATTAAATTTTGTTTTCGGATTTATTGATTTATTATTATACCTAGTAGTTATATAAAAGAACTATTTAAAGTAATAGGCCGTGAAAATATTTTAAAATTTTATAAAAAAACTCTTTCTGTAATTCAGAATCATTTGTTCTAATTAAATTTTTCATTACACTTAACTCAACATTATTTAATTTTATGAGTGCTGTAAGTATAATTTTACTATAATTTACATGTTGGATTATATTGAAATTGAAATTAATTACAAAAGACATGAGAGATTTATAAAAAAATAGTGCTATTATAAAATAATTTCAATTAAAAATAAGTACGATTTGTCAACAGAATGTTCTAATATTGAACATGTGATATTTTCCATATTTTAAGTATAAAATGATTTAGAAGCTAAATAAAGCCATTATAGCCGCCGATATCCAAGTTTATGTTCCGCATTGATGAGCAAGTCCTTAAATACAAGACTAATGTTGCGCGATTTATAGCTAATAACCTTGACAACATATTACTTTTCTATCAAAGTATAGCGATATAATCATTAATGTTGTTGCTCATTTTTTATACTATAATCTAATAATAATTATTCCAACATTATTGAAAAGTTAATAATAAAAAATATGAACTGTCTCAAAAGTATAAAAACCGAAAAGTTTAAGAGAAAAAACAACATAAGAAAGTTTTGATGTATTTGTTTGCAGAAGTTTGTTGTGTCAGAAAAAAAACATTTTTTATTAATGATTTTAAGTAAAATATTGATTTCAATTTGGAATTTGATAAATGTGCCAGAAAAAAAACAGTGAACAAATGGAGTTAAATTTCGAAAACTAATGACTAGAAACTATATCCGATGCAATGTTCACTGTAATTATCGTTGCAGCATTGAAAGCTCATATTTTATTATTTGCAAAATGATAAAGTGCTTTCATAGTTAAATATTTTAAAATATATGTTGTTATTGAATCATCCATAGCACACTGATAAATATCATATCGTGTTAAATGTGATATTATTAAAACCATAATAAATATGATTTAAACTTACTATCAAAAATTACATAACACTTTCTAAACATAATTTGCTTCAAAAATATATACTTTTAATTTGTTATTTTTAATGATAAACAATAATTAATGATAACGTAAAAATGCAGATGCAAAACGAAACTATGGAATATTGTACAATTTCCAATTAAAAATTAGATCAAAGCACCGAGCATTATAGATTTTCTCTGTTGTTGATTTTCACAATAATAAAAGGGGATAATAATTGTTGTTGACATTAAATAGATTCGTTCAAAATTTAACAGAGTAATTACGTCAACTTTGAAATACTAAACGACAAAGGTCCGTGGCATTTTCATTGTCATTTCATTGTTTATTAACGTTTAATGCGTACGTTAATTTCCAAGAACAACATATAATTAGTTTGTCGTAGTATTTTCAGTATAATCATTTTACATCAATTTTAAAACTAATTTGTAATTTGGATTGTTCGGAAAGTTTGTGCCGATCTTAGCTAAGTAAAATTGGTGATGCCTAAATACATCAAAATTTGTTTAAAACAATTAATTTGCTTACATATTATGAAAGGTAATTCGCTAAATGTAAACCACGTAATTTAAGCTTTAAAGATTTGATAGTAATAATGATAAAATTTAGACATTGCTCGAGAATAACCAGAAATATTAGCAGATATTAAAAATATAAAAACAAACATCTACGAGTGTTTCTTTAAGCTTGGCTACATAAACCGTTACGACATATGAGTTTTCCATAATGGTACGGACAAAGATCATCACAAAAAGTTAAAATAAAGGTTGTTCATTAATAGCATGCAAATAACTTATTTAAAAGTTTAATTATTAGTATTAATGAATTTATACTGAACATTTTATTGAGTTTTATTATAATATAATTTAACGGTTAATATTCCTTTATATGTATGTAATTAATATACATTTGCTAATTTTAAATCATTTACTCATTTACTCATTTATTACAAAATGACATTTGATTGGACGCTTTTGTCATAATGGTTAAAGTGCAATGTGGTGATTCTATGAAATAAAATTAAAAGCTTAGTGCATGGATTCTGCATGAATTTATTATGAAAATTTAGTGAACAATGAAGTTCAGTGCATAATTAAATGGCAGTATTTATTTAGTTAGAAAATATAATTTATGACCCAGATCTTTACTTTTTAAAATAATAAATACGTTTATAAATAATTAATATAATTCGATAATCTCCGATAAAATTGTTTCTATCAATTTTAAAAAAGGATAATTATTTTATGTAAAAATATAATGTACACGACGCGTGAGATCGTGCACAAAAGCAACTTATAAAAAACTTCTATTTCCGGCTTGGGCGTGAGTCCCTGACATGGGAAGGTTATGGACGCCACTTCCTTTCCTTGATAGGAAGAACTCAATATTTTCTGCTCTCCTTGGAGCATCACGCTTCTTCTCCGATGGTTGGCTTTGGCTTCTCTAGAGCAGTGGTCTCCTCTCGCGGACCGGTACCAGTCTGTGGATCAAATGGTACTGCTCATGGTTCTCATTGATTTGGAGCACCACCTGCTATGGAGCACCAACGCCATCCTCTTGGAGCACACAAATATCTTCTCTGGAGCACTTACACTTTTTCCACGGTTTAGATCTGGACTCACGCAAATATATTAAAAATCTTCTCCAGTAAGACACCTCAACGGTTCCTTCACTGTCCGATTTGGTCTCCTCGCAATTCTGAAGTCATCATAATGAAGAGAAACGTGTAAACTACGTTTGTGTTGACAATTTTACATCGTTGCAATAATTATTTCATCTCAATACTGTAATATTTTTTACTTTTTTCATTAAACATATATTACAGTAATATTATAAAATATTTATTTAGTTGTGGACAACTTGATTTGTTTTTAGAATATAATATTTGGATTACAGTAAGTTGTTATTAAAATTGTATTTTTCTAACTGAATTAAAATATTTTATGAAAAAAAAGATACTTTCTTAAGTTCGAAAACTGAATTGTAAAAAAAACTTAATTAATGTAAAATTGCATAATCCGTTCTCGAAGTCCAGATAATCCCTTATTTAAAACTTTATAACAGTAATTCATGCATAAAATCGCAATCACATTCAATAAAAATACATAAAATCTTAAACGGTGTAATCAAAATAACAATAACAATTAAATTACATAAAATAATATACGGATGACAGTTGGCGGCTTGAGGCTTGAAAATTTTGTTCGAAAACCGAGGCTTTTTTGTTCGGGAACCGATGTCTTCGAGTATCCTCTGTATTTTATTTTATCTCATTGGTAACCCAATACAGGATAGTTTTTCACACCCAAATGTCATTTGTCCGTTATAAGCGACAGAGTTTACTTATTTCATATAAGGTGTAATGTATTTTTGAAGATAAATTTAAACCTGTAATACCAATTGAAAATTATACAAAATAATTCGTATAATTTGATGAACATAAGTGGATATAGAGAACAGGTTAATCAGACGTGTGATATTCATGTCAATTACTAAACATGAGG